GGGGGACTCAAGTGTTTTGTTAATAAAAAGGGGCGATTTAGAAAAAATATTACATACAGATCATACTTTTATAGTCTTAATTGCACATGTATCATCGCACAGATTGACAGGGAGGTTTGTACCCACCTGACAGGCTGAAGCCAGACTGGTGCAGGTTCCTGACGGGCTGTGCTGGGTGTTTGGCCGGTGACGTCTTGGCGGACGAAGCGGGGGTGATGGTCTTGGGGGTGGCGGTGACCTCACACACGGGCCCATCATAGAGACCCCGTGGAACCCCTCGTAAGTTGGCCAGCTGCGGAGAAGACAGGTATTACATCACTTCCTGTGCAGGACCATCTCACCGCCTCAGTGGATGTTACAATATAGTAACTAAGGAAAAATGTGGACACAAAACAAAATTTATAAAAGCAGAATTTCTGAAAACTAGAGATCAAACACAGCTCTGAATCGTACTTTAAGTCCCTCATGGTCAGTATCCTACCAACATTGTGGATGAGAAGGAATCCCAGACAGACATACCTACAAAGGTGTATGACGTCTACACGTGCATACACACGCATGTGCATGCAGACGCACACTCACCCTGCTGCGCGCCTTTATCCGCTTGTACACGTAGTCGGGGAAGGGTTTGCGGCCCACGTATCGGCCCGACCCCTCAGTGGTGTGCAGGTTCCCGTCCTCCAGCACGATCTTGCCCTGGCTGATGACCACCAGGGGGCCGCCGCGTACCTCTGTGCCCTCGAAGATGTTATACTCCACAGCCTGCAGGGGGCGACATACAGGAGATGCACTTGGGCTGAGGAAGGAGAGCAGGAATCCTAAAGGCTGCATATTCCGCAGCAAGTGTTCTGCAGGTGCCGCACAAACATGCTAACGGCTATTACGCTTTATAAAGTTTATCGAACTGCGACGCTGACAGTCTTCATCCACTTCCTAGTTCTCCCTTTTCTCTCTGCACAGAAACGGGCCACGTCCACATCGCCAGCGGTCTTGGCAGCACTCGCCTGCAGCACTTGGTGGAAATTTGCCCCTAAGGGGAGTCTGAACGAGTAACTGCGAGTCAGGACGGCGTCTGCAGAAAATCAAAGTCGGTCGTCATGGACACAGGCGTCCGTCGACACAAGCAAACGGAACTGACAAAGGCGTTTGGAGGCCACACAAAAACAAGGGAGGGGGGCCGATCCAGTCACGAGGGAGACCGGGGGCTGATGTGGCTGGACCTCGGCCGCACGGCGGCCCGGCACGGGCGTCAGCATGTGACACGGGCCCCTCGGCAGAGGAACAAGGGGCTTGTGTTCTGCCCCGAGCGGCGGAGTGAAAAACTGCGAGTGGCAGGATACGAGGTAAAACTCGAGCACTGTGCTTGACCGTGTTCTCCTCCTTCAAGGGCCGCGGTCCGAAAGAACAAACGGGCCCCCAAGGGCCACCGCTGAGCCCGTCCACCAGCCAATCGGGGTGTCGACTGAGTGCGCCATGTGATTAATCACATTAATCCAAATTTATGTTAGGAAGAACCAAAATTAAAATAAACATCTATTTGTGTACTCCACTCATTATTTCAATCAATCAGTCATTACTTGGTAATTAATGAATGATTAAAGTGATTTAATTATTACTTAGCAAAGAAATTAAAGGGGTGATTTAGCAGAATTAATGGCCAAATAAGCCAGATGTTATATTAGCACAAATGCACAAGTAATTAGATTTTTGTATTAGATTTTTTAGTGTTTAATGTTAAGCATTCATTTGGTGCCTGGATGATGGCTGATGACAGATCTGAGTGAAATTAAGAAGTTCTCAGGTTGGATACAGTTGGGGTAACAGATTAGGTAACGGAAAGAAGGGTTCAGATATTCTAACCTCAAACCTCAGGAAGACGCACCAACTCAGATCTTACACCAAGTGTTAGAGCTTTGTAAAGCGGGAAGCCGGATCAAGATGCAAGGCTGTCTTATTCTTGGAAAGAATACAGCTGATAAATATGAAGCTACATGATCAGACCACGATTCCAGCAATGTAAGCACCACAGTGGCATGTCACATGACCTCAGCGGCATGTCACATGACCACAGCGGCATGCCACATGACCTCTGAGCCCGCTCACCAGGTTGTGGCTCTTGGCGGAGATGATCTTGGTGATATCTGGGTCCCAGAGCACCAGGTCTGCATCAGAGCCCACGGCAATACGGCCCTTGCGGGGGTATAGATTAAAGATCTTGGCAGCGTTGGTGCTGGTCACGGCCACAAACTGGTTCTCGTCCATCTTCCCTGTCACCTAAGAAGGTGGGGGTGGGACAAGATGTCTGAGTGGACTGTGGAAGAGTCACGTCTCTCTGCTGCTGCTTGTGGGTAAAGCCAGCAGGGGGCGGTAGGGAGTACGAGCGATAGCCTTACCACACACTTGTCCCAGACCAGGGACATCCGCTCCTCTGTGCCGTTTGTTCCCTCTGGGATGAGGGAGAAGTCGTCCTTCCCCACTGCACGCTGGGCGGTGCTGAAAGTGCAGTGAGCGCTGCCTGTCACCTGCAGGTCACCGCTGCGGAGGGGAAGAGGCTCTGGAAAATTACCTTCTCAAGCAATTAGGTGATATCGCGTCAAAATCAACAGCAAAGAGGGAAACATCTAAAGAATCAAGAATATAAAGAATCAAGAATATAAAGAACTGAATATTTAAGCAGAGTCGCAGATTCAAAGCTTGAAATTTCAGGGCACGCAGTAGAGACCGTCTGTCTGAGGCAGACTGATGTTTTGATACAAAATCCCAAAATACACACAGAAAAAGCACACAAGATGGATGTGTTATTCAAAAATATTTCCATTTGACTCGAACCAGAGAGACTTTCCGGTATTCATCAAGAGAAAATGGGTGCATATTAATCTGGCAGCGTCCACATCAACTAGGTCTCCCGTGTGGCTGTGGTGTTATTGCTTCTGTGGTCAGAACAGACAAAATCACCACGCATTCCGCTTGATTTGTTCGTTTCTATGTCGGCAAAGTTTCCCCAGCAATATTGTTAATGGCTCTGTCATGGCAATAAAGCATTATTGAATTTAAATGTAATGAAAGGAAGAAAGAGAGTGTGTGGGGGGGGGGGGAGGGTGAGGCTGGTGAGAGAGAAAAGGAAAGAGGACACAAATGCAGCAGAGGTGAGAGGAAACAGGAGACTAGCAGGAGAATATTTAATTGCATGCAGGAATGGAAGGATGAGAGGCAAATTTGTTCAGCGGACTGATGAATAAAATATGAGTGGCTTGAAAACTGTGGTGGATAAACAGGTGCCGAAGCCCCGCCCACCTGTGAAGTCCCGCCCACCTGTGAAGCCCCGCCCACCAGTGACGCCCATGTGATTCTCTTACCAGGAGAGCAGCGAGTTGAGGTAGTCGGGTGTGGTCGGGTCGGGGCTGAGGGGCGGCGACGTGACATAGGCAGCAGCCTTGGCCCAGTTCTTGCTCCAGTAGTGGGAGCCGTCCGTGCCCAGGCTTGCCGAGATGGGCTCCCCGTACACCACGGTACCTGGGGGTTGGGGGGTGTTGCAGCGGACCAATCACTGGCCTGCAGGGTGTGGAGGTGGCTGTGCGCTGGTGAGAATGCAGAAAGACTGCGGATTGGCCAGGGCGGCTCACCTTTCTTTCTGGCCAGGGCAATGACATCAGCAGCACTCTTGCTCATCACCTTGGTGATATAGAGGGGGCAGTTGGTCTGATTGGCCACCGTGATCGAGCGGTTGACCGCCTCTGCCTCCACCTGGGAGACGGACAGATACAAGGGGAGGGACAGAGAGAGAGAGAGAGAGAGAGAGAGATCACCATTAGTGACAAAGCTCACTGAAAACCCAAGTGTGATCAGTGTGTTTTCAAATCACAGCTATGTTCTGGTGCCAGGATTAACAATGAGAGAAAGCAGGGCAGAGCATGTGGCTCAGAACATGTGGCTCAGTAAGGACCAGCCCCAAAGTCTTTACAGTGTAAATATAAAAGTGGGTGTGGCTTTGCTGAGGTGGGTGTGGCTTTGCTGAGGTGGGTGTGGCTTTGCTGAGGTAGGTGTGGCTTTGCTGAGGTGGGTGTGGCTTTGCTGAGGTGGGTGTGGCTTTGCTGAGGTGGGTGTGGCTTTGCTGAGGTGGGTGTGGCCATACCTCCTCAGGGCGGCTCAGCACGTGACCCTCCGGCCCAGTAATGCCAAGCTCCAGGATCCTGCGCTGCTCCTATGGGCGGAAATGCCGGATGGAACGATGAGGGAGGCAGGACTGGGAGGGAGGGGGGCAGGAGGCAATAAAACACAGAAAGCTGGCGAGCAGAGAGGCGCCATATTAAAGCTGACCTCGGCCACGATGTCGCCGTTCTCTGCGTGCACCTGAGCGATGGCCCCCAGGTCCCGGATCACACTGAAAACCTCGTAGATCTGCAGCGAGAGGGCGGCAGGAAGCCAGTCAGAAAATGGACGTCTGCTCATAAAGCACAGGCTTCATGGGTCACATTTAGCAGATGTCCAAAGCGATATAAAAGGAAAGATCTTAGAGTTGGGATTATGGGCCTGGCTCCTGAGCCCAAGAGTATAACTGCTAGCGTGGGGATTTGAACCAGTGACATTTCAGCCATGGGCCTAGAGACCAAACCTGCAGAGCTACACACATCTCAGAGCTGGTCAGAAAACGCCGTGCAGTTAGATGAGCTGGTCTGGAACCCTGATTCTCATCAAACCCTGATGCTGCTACAGTTTCCACGCTTTCCTGAGAGGGCTGCAGAAGCAGGGAGAGTCTGGGCCGGCGGCTCGTGAGAGAGACCCCATGCAGCTGGGTTTCCCTCGCCATGGCAACGCCGCACGGACACGGATCAGCATGGCGCCCAGCAGCTGCGGCCCACCAGGGGAAACAGGAAGACCTCTGGTGCTCGGAACAAGCGGCCTTTTGTTGTGGCCCAGTCGCTGTTCGCGGCCGCATGGAAAACTGATTATGATTCTCTCATAAACAACCGTTAGCAGATAGATGCGTGCAGCAGATGGAGAAGCTATCAGGCCTGCATGGTGTGAACAAGCGACCCAGGGAGGCTAAACCCCAGAAAGAAGGTGCTGCTTCACCCAGGACTGGTGCCTTTAGGCCCAGATTCCTACACTGAAATAACTGTAGGAACGTGTGAAATTGTGAATTATGTTACGGGAGCAGAGCAGCAGGATGTGTGAGATCCCATTCACTGGACCTGGGAGTTCCTCTGGGGTTAGCGCTCGAGCATCCAGACAGCACGCAGTAAACTGATACCCTGCATCCTGAAACTAAGGAAATAGCTGATCTTTCTTCACCGTGAGGAAACGCGACCGCTGCCAAAGATTTCTCTTTGCGCTTCTGAAAGCCCTACCTGGGAATCGGTCAGCTGAAACACATCTTTATAGGCCAGGTAGACCAGGAAGGAGTTGACACCTAAAGACAGACAGGGGGTGAGGTCATGTAGCTCAAAACAGTCGCATTTATAGAGGAACACAGAAAGGTGACGATATGAAAATGGCAGTGGATCTGCCCACCGTAGACACCGGAGACTTGTATACGGCAGTGGGGTGATACCACCAAGCCTACATGACCCGTCAGTGTAAGGAACCTCAGCAAAGGGAAGAAATCCAATGTCCTGCTCATTGTAACTCTGACAGTTGCTAATAAATGTCAAGTCTTCCCAGAACTGCTCCAGGGACGCCTGATAAATGGCTTAACCCTGCACTCAGAACCCTAGCTTCACTCTCAACTGTAAATATGTGTGTGTGCATGTCTCAAGACCGGCACATTGCCACATAGTAAAAGCACAGGTCTGAGCCCCCCACCTCACTGAAATTTGTCTCGGGCTGCAGACCTGGGACATTACAAAAAAAAAAAAAAAACACATATACTTGTGCAGATGGCAAATAAAGCATTATTTCAGTTCAAAACTTCAATCCCAGCTGCGCACGAGCCTTGGCCGCCGCACGCTTTCCGGTGTAGAGGTTGGGTATACCGTGCTCTTTGACCAGCGTCTCCAATTCCTCCTGCACGCCGTCGTGCCAGTCGGTGATGTTCACGTGCAGAGAGTAGTCGCAACATGCCTTGCTGTCCGCCCAGTTCCTCCACTGCTCGAAGGCCGCCACCACACTGGAGCCAGCCTCGGGCACCACGTGGTCAACTGCTCGCCCAAGGAGGAGAACCAGTCAGTCATTCTTCAATAAATACATCAACCGACAAACAATTCATCAATCCAGTATATGTGAATCAGACATCAATAATCAATCACCGATATAATCATCAATCACTGACTAATAATCACTCCTTACTAAAATCATGATCTACCATTGTAGTGATGTTCCTGCACGAGCCTCTATAAACTCGGTGAGGACATGACACTGTGCCGTTTGGTATTCAGTAGGGCACACCTGTTTTTCTGCAGAAAAATGAAACAGATGAGATGAACCGCGCCGACTCGGCCCTGCCTGCCATCTGCCGCACATGTTCCAGATGCCTGGAATAGCCGGTGTCCAAAAAAGGGCCGAGACAGGCCTGATCAGCTGCTGTCAGCAGCCTGGCCCATCCCCGGCATGGCGGATAGGCGGCGAGCGGGAAAAAGGGGCCGGGTGAGCAGAGGGGCTGGAGGAACAGAAGCCTGAGAGCTTCCAGCTGATGGTCTGGCCCAGCAGACCTGCCACATGGTCGCCCCTTCTACAGATCTGTTTCTAATCGCTTGTGGAGACTTGCTCTGAAGCCCCTTCTGCGTTTAATGCTACCTTGGGTCATATGGGTAATCAGTCTGACAGAGACGTGATATTAATTAATAAGACATTTGACACTTGAGTCCAATTATACCACAGTATTCCGTTTCCCCATTACGATTAACTGACATTTTATATACGCATTTTGATCAATAAAAATGTAATCCGTTTACTGTATGATAGTTTTAATGGACATACAGACTGATCTCTTTTAAGTAACCGTTGAATTTTTTATTTTTTTTTGCAGGGTGAATCCATTGAAGAAAAGGTTAAAGGTTTAAATCAAAGAAAGGTCACATGTCTTGTGTCCATAAGCACTTCATCACAATTAGTCTACTAAAACATCCACCATAAAATGTATATAAAATGCCAGGTTAGCCACTAAGTACAAACATGTCTAAACAAATGGGTCAAATTTATGTGCTGTATTTAAAGAAAGGTCACGAAGAACCAAAAATGATCAAAAAAGCATTCATATGTAAGAAATGGTTTATAGCTAGGAACTTTAAAAGCTGCACGAAATGTAACGTTTCACCATTGAAACTGAAGTTGAACTTCGCAGACAAAATTATAGGAACAAGTGAGTGACTGTAGACAAATGGCCCCTATGTCAATAACACAGTTTGGACAAAAATGTCAGTTACAAGCCTATAATTGAAGCGTGGATTTGTATCATTGATTCTGAGGTGGTCAGTGTAAACAGAGTGACATCGTCAGGTTCCACAGGCTTGCTAGGGCTCAGACGGCGGACACATCCGGCTGAAGAGAGGCCACTGCAGGCCTACAGATGGGCTCTCACATGTGCACCAGCCAGGGAAACAATGCAGGCCTGTTTTCCCCAATCAGGCTGACTTTTCCATAGCCTGTTCATCTAGGACAACAATTAGATAACAGCTATCTGAGAAACATCAGAGGTTTCCCACTATGTTTTGTATTTTTGAACAGAATTCCATAAAAGGTAAAACATCAGTTAGTGTTCTTTGGCGTCGGCAAAAGAATCGATGTATAATCCATAAGAGCGTTTACACACGAACCTCATCTGCGAGCCTGTTACTGGGCAACATCAACTCACATGCTAGCAAGGCCAACGCATAACGAGACATTCTGTTTCCATGGCAACCTCCCGTGGAGCACAACAATGCACGCCGTTCTGCAGCCACCAATTTGCTGCCAATCCCGCGGCTTCGGTCAACGGTGTGAACTGAAGCCAGGGGCCTCTACAACAGAAGCCATAGCAGAGCGAGGGAGGAACTTAGAAGATGGCTGCCGAATTCCTTCACTCCACCCCTTGAAAATGCTGCAAGGCCACTTAACTGATTATTTGATTTTAATTACTGTGTTCGGCTTATTTGTGGGCCAGATAATTTGTCCGGACCTGCTTATTCACGGACCGTGCCCTGACCACCGAAGAGGTCCGTTAACCCTACAATGTGCCGTTTACCCTCCTCCTGAGTTGCAGGACTCTACCGTTGGGCGAGTCACGTACTGATCATGGTGGTTCCACCAGCCAGGGCAGCTCGAGTGCCTTGGTAGAAGTCGTCGGCAGCAGTCATGCCCCGATCGGGCATCTGGAAGCGAGTGTGGACGTCGATGCCCCCCGGTATAAGCATGCGGCCATGGGCGTCGATGATCTTTACGCCTCCAGGGACAATCAGGTTCTCGCCGATTTGCCTGATGGACAGCAACAAAGGTAGAGGAAACTATCAACAGTTAATTTGATTTCTAATGATACATCACTTTTTCTAAAGTTTGCTGAAGAGGTCCAGTTTGTCAAAGAAAAATGACCCAGGCTAAAGTAAAAGGTCTAATTTAATCTACAGAAGGAATTACCAAGATTATTAAGGAACTACACAAGATCAGAAGAGACTTACTTGATAACCCCATCCTCCATGTAGATGTCAGCATGGAAAGACTGGTCATCGTTCACGATTTTGCCACCTTTGATCAGAAGTCGATCGCTCTAGTGGAGACAAGTGATGCCAGCTAATTAATTCTCCTGTTGTTTATGCTGCTGATTCACACACAATACATTGTTTTTGCCAAAACAAATATTTTGCCTCTCACTGGTACAACAGTATGTCACCTGCTGGGATTTGAATCTACAACCTTGTGGTATCTACTACTTGGTGGTAGCATTGCCTGATTTAAACTACAGCCCTCCTGGAGAAAGAGAAAAAAAAAAACTCTGCCCTTAAAATCCAATGAAACCATCACCACAGTGATTATGTTGAGATTATTGGCTCCATGTCTTTCTAACAAGGTTTCACCCACAGCAGAGTGAAATGAAGTCCAGACACTTTCACAAGGCCAAATGAAGTCAGCGTATGAGACCAGCTGCTGCATTTGGCAAAATTACACTGCCTGACACATTTTCTTTTTGGTCAAAACTCTCAATGGAGCTGTTTGTGCAGTAGAACATCCTGGAAGCAGAAACTGAGGAACTTTCTCCCCAGTGCCGGACCAGTCCTACAGCTCTGCCTTACGGGTGGTTTTTTGGGCACACGCCCAATTTCAGGCATTCTCTCTCTCCACAGACACCAAATAAAAAAAAAGGTGTGTGTATGTGTGTGGGGGAGGGAATCCCCGGCATGCACTGCTTGCTAGATCAACATTATTCCCGTGCCAGTGGCTCACCCGCCCCCCATTTCAGCTGCTGCGTGACAGCCAGGAACCCGAAGCACCTCATGTCAACAAGTAAGAGTCGATTGCGAAGGGATGCCATCGAGCGAGGGATGGGGACCCAGCGTGTGCCGGTGACATCGACAGTCAGCACAGACCTTTCTTATAACTTAGAGCAGCAATAGATGGGATTAGATGAGATGTCTGCATTAGCTAAACAAGTCTAGTTATAGCCATGGATTGCTGCGCTAAAAGAAATCACATAAAATCTGTCATCAATAATCAGTCCAAATCCTTCAATTCGAATGAGGCCTCAGAAGAAGCATCCACACAGAAATGTTCTATGGATGGATGGATGGATGGATGGATGGATGTGTCGGCACATTTAGCAACCTACCCATTTCCATACATCTATTTTTTGTGCTTGCTTGTCCTATGCAGGATCTACAAATTCCAATGGAACTAAACACAACATGATACTATATTTAAAACGTCTTTGCCTAAAACATCACATCAGTTGCACTAATTATCACACACAGTCCCTCCCTGGCAAGATTACAAGGTGACACTTCACATGAACCGCACTGCATTCATTATCCATCCATTGAACATTCAGAACGCCTTCATAATGCATTTATAATGCATTCATAGGACTTGAAAGCAGAGAGTAAGTATACACTATATGGACATAAGTATTAGGACACCTGGCCATTACACCCACAGGGACTTTTATGACATCCCATTCTAAATCCATAGGCATCAATATGAAGCTGGTCCCCCCTTGCAGTTATAACAGCTGCCACTCTTCTGGGAAGGTTTTCCACAGATTTTGGAGTGTGTCCGTGGGAATTTTTTGTCCATTCATCAAGAAGAGTATTTGTGAGGTCAGGCACCGATGTTGAACACGAAGGCCTGGTTCACAATCTTCATACGTTATTGATGGGGTTGAGGTCAGGGTTCTGTGCAGGCCAGTCGAGTTCTTCCACACCAAACTCACCCAACCATGTTTTTATGAACCTTGCTTTGTGCACTGTGGCACAGTCATGCTGGAACAGAAATGGGCCTTCCCCAAACCGCTCCCACAAACTGGGAAGCATAGAACTGTCCAGAATGCCTTCATACGCATATATAGGTGCAATGGCCAGGTGTCCCAATATTTTTGTCCATATAGTCTACCTTAATATGTCAAAGCGCTGTATTCATAATACTTTCAATGAACAAGCTGCAATTTACATTAATATGAAACATTATAATCGTATAATAAAGGGTTTTGAATTTAAATCTGGGGAGAAAACTCCTCTCCCACACACACACAGTGCTCTGTGTGGGACTTTGCTTAAGCTGCAACTCATTCGACATTTTATCTGTCCAGATATTCATGGCTGCGCACTCACTGCATTACGGTGGGATTCAAAGTCCCATCAATGACAAGTGAATAAGCATTTTCATGTGTATGTGTGAGAGAGAATTGTTCAGCTGAATTTATTAAACTAAAATAAGTAAACAAGTTTGACTCAGAAATGAAATGTTTTCCTAAGGTCCAAGTCTGTGCTGTCTAATTAATTACTAACAAATTACCAAAGACATATGGTTTTATGATTTTCTCATTGATTGCAATCATTTTTGCATTCACACAACAGAGAAATAGCACAGTTTCTGTGTTTATCTTGTAAACTATTTAGGAATTATAATGACGTCACCATCTTGGTTACCATGGAAAGCCCAGTGAAAAATGCTGGTTACCATGGAAATCTTCTCAACTCGCCTTTATCCTATTATTCCTTCAGTTAGTCTATCAGTGAATTAATCAGAGCAGCATGGACCCTCATGGATCGTGCAGCTGTAAATGGGGGACGCTCCTTCTCCACCTGACTGGCTCCGTCCATCCAGCGGTCTCCTGAAGCACGGCCACCCAGAGAAGCGTGCCAGCTGGCTTATATGGATCGGCCACCAGTGCTGCTCGCAAATTACTGTAATGGCATATTTCCCTGCCTATTAACAGCTTCTCTAATCTCTGCACGACACACGGACCTAAATACAGGGGGTTCCCATCAGCTGATGGGCCCCCAGAGGTCAATTAAGAGTCATTATGCTTCCACATATATTACTGAGCGTATAAAACACTGTAATACCAGCGAACTGGTACTCGATACAATGTGTGACTTTGCTTCTGTCACTATATTATACATCATATATGATGGATATCATGTTTCTATCTATCTATCTATCTATCTATCTACAGTATCTGTCTGTCTGTCTGTCTGTCGTGCTCTCTCATATATGTATAATTTATATACATATATATCATGTGTAACATGACTAGTAACCCTTGTGATTTTCAAAGGCTTACAGCTAAGCATCTAGTCACTAAATTATTTACATTGAGCACTTCTCTCCAGGATACAACATCTGCGATTTAAGCCTTTTGGTCCCGGGAAGTGGGATCTAAACGGGAAGCTTTTAGACGGGGATGGGGTGGGGGCATGGGCATTTCCTCGAAGCTGAAATGTGACCCCGCCCCCACAGCACACAGCCGCACACGGACGGTGATAAAATCAGCGCTGCTGTTGAGGCGGCAGATAGAAATGCTGATGAGATGCTAGCCTGTGCGAGGCTGGGCTGTTCATTTCCAGCAAAACGCTGCTTTGGGACGGCGCAGGAATCGGAGTGATTACACTTTGCCAGCACGCTGTGTGGAGCTATTATTAGGGGGAGAGGCAATGTCAGAAAAATGCGATTCCTCTAAACTGTCCTCATACAGCCTGCGAAGGTGGGGGTTAAGCTTTACATCAGCTACCATGTGTCAGTAACAGCTCCTCTCTGAGGCCGTCCAAAGAGCTACTCTGGTGCTCCCTGTGTGACCGATAGTGTGCGTGAGGACAGAACACGCTCAGCCCGGGTCATGCTTTCAGGACATCGCGTGAGCGTTGTTGCCGAGTCTGTTACCGATCTGGAAATGACTGGACTTGAGTGGAAATAAAGAAGAAATATTGTCAACAGTCGACTGAAAGCTTCTCAGTATAATTATATGTATTATGATCCTAAATGGAATTGAATTTTTGAGTGAAATGTGGTAAATATCCAGCATTCCTGTAAGTAGGTCAGGTTAATCATTTCCTGTTCTACCATTCGTTTATTTTTAGCATGGAGAAAAACATGCTGGAGCCCCGCAGAATGTCATTCAGGAAGCACTGGACATCATTTCAGAAGGACAGCACAGCGACGTCCTTCAGGTCAGCCATAATGCAATATTTTCCCCAAACAAAGGCTTGATAATTGACTGCAAGAAATGCTCGTCAATTGTGGAGATGCAATTTCCTTTATTTATTTTAAAAGTTATAGATTCACTGAGGAAAAAAACCACACAATTCCCTCATGTCGCTTACTGAGTCTGGGCTTTGATCCAGACCAGGCAGCACATCACCCCAGACTGGACTGATGCCCTGTCACTGAAGTCAGAAAGTGTCACGTCAGCTCAATAGAAGTTCCCCCCCGCGCTTCTGACCTGGTTACTCAGTTTGATTCCTTGGGAACCAGTCAAACCAAAGCTCCTTCTGATGAAAACAAAGAACCAATCCGAGCGGATTCCTTGGTTCTACGAGGCACCTTGAGTTCAGCGCAATGCACAGCAGCACTGCTGGAGATGAGAATGACATCACCCTCGACATCATATTCATAACTGGCGTAATATAAGGCAGGCAAAGCAGGAGTCCTTGTTATGGATTTATTTCAGGTCTCTCTGCCGGGATGTGGCTAGGAGAACTGGCAAAATTAGACCTTCAGAAAACATCACAGAAACCAGCCACAAATCCTTAAAGCCCACCCCATCTCCAAATTCTCATTCCAGACCCATTCCGGCCAGCGAAAGTCTTCCGAAGACATCTCCAATTGCTAATTCCAGTCAGACTGTGAACATGTCCTTTGTGCTTGGATCAGTGCGTGACCCAGGCGCGACTGGCAAAGGGCGGATCTCACCCCTTCAATAACTGGCCACAAAACACGAAGCGGGAGGTGCATGCAGAGAGAGCGAATCCTTTCCTTCCAACGCGAGACACCAGACATTACGGCGGTGGAAATTCTGAGGAGCCCATGACAGCGCCAGCCCCCAGCATAATGAAGTGTGAGGGGAGCTACTACCCTTCCTCAGGCAGACATTTTTAATCTGACAACCGCAAACAAATCGGACCGAGGGCTGCAAGTTCACTCAGGAGGCCGAATGACACAATGAGGGCCTTCGGTGCGCTTACACACATCATATATACGTCTGTCCGTGCCCAGGGTCTAGTACGCTCATACTTCAAAACTCATTATTAGTAAGTACGCAAAGGGTGTTTTTTGCTAACGGTTATAATAATAGAAACAGAAATCACCCTTGCTGTTAATTTCCCCCTGCAAAAAGCATACGTAATATGATACAATAAAATTATAAAAAGCATGCATACAAAAAATAAAGGTCACTACGTAATGTGACCTGTTGTTATTACAAAGAAATTAAGATCCTGGACTGTTTAAGTTATTGTAGTAGAAGTGTAAATTTTTTACAGTTTTTAGTTCACCATTGTAGGGATTTGCTCCATGCAGAGTGAATAATAAGCAAGCTCAGGCTGTGGCCTATGCAAAGGCAGAGATCTGTGCTGTGCGGAGGGTATGAGGATGGGAGGAAGGCTCACACATGAGGAAAAAGGGGGGCGACAGCTGTCTCTGAACCCCCCCCCCCTCCCCGATCTGGGCGTCCGCAGCCCGCTCGGCGCGGAAAAGCAGCGTCTGAAGGCCGGCCGGCATTTCATTCATGCGGCATGAGCTCATTTCCAAAAGCAGCCACGTCGATGACTTTATCCCGTTTGCTGTATCGTGCCCGCAACAAGCAGATGGAGGGAGGAGACGCTCCGTAGTAAAGGGTAAATATTATTTAGGAAGGCTGCGTTTCAATGGAGAAAAAGATAAGCGAGAGTGAGTATGTTTCCTTTCCTACCGTCAGCCCAACGCTCCCGGTTTTAAGCGACAGCAGCTTCCATCGGCTTTCTCTGTTATGTAAATCGTCTCAAATCGCCATTGCAGCTCATCCGCCCCCCGCCGGTAATTTTCACAAAAATAGCGAATGACAATTACAAGCGACATCGCCACTGCATTCACGCCAAAAAGCGGACTGATCGAAATGAATATGAATCGCAGTCCATCGGCAGTAGGTGGAGGGAGACGGACAGCCCGCACAAAAGAGGGGCGACCCCGCTACATGGGCGCCCGCTTCTCCCGTCTCAGCTCACAGCAGACGCGACCCTCCCCATCCCGCCAGCCAGCCCAATGGAGATGCCCGTCTTCCAAAAAAAAATAAAAAATACTTTCAGCTTTCACAGAAATTTATTTTGAATTTTTCTACGCAATAAAATTACAATTCAATTCGATACAACAATATCAATCACAAAAAAAAATCGCATCGATGCCCGGGGTCACTCCCAGACTTGGGTCAATGACAACATCTTTGCGATCCATATCCGCATTACTAGGAGAATGCGTTATGTTTTACGCCTTATCGTGCCAAAACTGCATGCATCCCACATCTATTTACATTAAACATTGCAAAAAGGAGATCGAAAGCAATGGGCTGCTTAGCAGTTATAATAGTCCGAGCTTATTTTGCACCTGACAGACAGGAAAAGATTTTTCCCCGTCATCTAGTTCGATCATATGATGCATACAAGGACCTAGCAACAGAAAACGCGGACTGTACTGGTTTAAAACGGGTAATGCATTGATCCATATATAAATAATGCGACTGTACTCACTGTGATGCGGGGGATATTTTTCTTGCCTTGATAGCCGGACATTTTCGCCGCCGATACTCCGGAGGATCCTGCTCCCCAGCTTAGCTATGACAGACCGCGAAAGGAATGGATGCCTGCTTCTCTATGGACGGGAAAGAAGTTATTTTTCCTTTTCGACGCCCCCAAAATCGCAGCAGCACACGCAATAAGCTGAAACAATAAGGTGATAGCCAAAGCTTATATGAATATGAAAGAGGCCAACGATGAGGTCTCCCTGTGCCACAAAACAAGGCTTTTTTCTCCTTCTTACCAAGCCTGGGCAGACAGACTCAGACAGGGAGAGATTTGCACGGAGGAGGCCAGCGCGCATGCGCAGTGCCCCGCCCTGCTCCAGCCCCGATCCGTCCCATCCCCGTTATATTCTGTCATTATTGTTTCCAAAATTTAGACGTCGAGGATGGCAGCCTGCAGGTGCTGGGTGTCCTCAGTCTCCTCAAATATGCATTTAAAATATTTTCCATTCACAATCTGTTTTGTATATTTTAGGTTATAAAAAGAAATGTTTGAAGGAACATTGCGCTTCATTGTAGAGTGTCGTTCATTTACAAGATGCGATTCTGAGATCTGGACGTTATTGATGAAGACCTGGTGTAGATATGTTTGTGCTGCACCCATGCTGGACGTATAATAAAAATAGCGTTAGCCATCGGGAGTTCAGAACTGATATTTTGATTACGTTGCACTGCCGACGAACCAGGTGGAGCGTGGTATTTTTAAGTTTTGTCCAGAATGTTGTTAGTTATTAATATGGCCGAATGATATATTAATAAGTCCCGAATTTCCGAGCGTGCTTAGATAGCACATCTGGTTAAGATTGCATTTTACGACGAAGGCAGATAAATCTTTCCAAAGTAAAACAAAAAAAAAAAAAAAGCATATTGCAATAACTGCCCGGGAACCATCCTAAATGCATGACACTGTGGACACGTTAATATGATAGTAAAGGGGAATCAGCGTTTACCTCCCTCCGCCCCAGCTGGAAGTAGCTTTTTCTCAGAGGGCTCATTTTATGTTCTGTGTGCAGCGATGAATATGGCACTGTGTGCAGATCACATACAGTAATGGGACCCGGAAACCAGCGTTTGCGTTAAACAACGGACCAAGGCTTTAATATCAATACACAAACTTTAAAACAGCTAACAGTAGTGCATATTAATATCCTTAATATCCTTAGCTCTTAATAGTAACAAACAACACATTAAATTGTTTTTCAGACACTAGCAATTGTCACTAGCAATTGTCATTATTATTCTATTTTGTTATCGATTTATTATTATTATTATTATTATTATTATTATTATTATACGAAGAATTCACTATTTGATAGAAGTATTAGGGGAAAAAAACGTTTTTTATTACGTTTTAAACGTTTGGGTGCAATTTGAAAGATTACCAATAGATGGTGACAAAGAAAATGTAACTGTGAAAGAGCAGGTAATATACCATGTTTACCTGTCATTTTCCCACATTTTGAAAAATAGAATTTATAATTTATATGAGCATATCAGTAATTTTGAAGGGGGCGCTGTAGTGTTTTGCAAAATATCCTGTCATTCTATCATGACATCTTTTTGCAATTATATCCATCCATATCATGTGCTCGAACAGTTTCAGTCTGGGTTTCGTCCTTTTCACGGCACTGAGACAGCCCTGGTCAAAATTCCCAGAGAGGTGCTGATAGCGGCTGCTGTGGGGCTCCTTGTGCTCCTTGAGCTTATTATTTGACACAAATCTCTCACAATATCCTCCTAGACAGGTTAGTATCCATTGGCATCAGTGGTGCCCCTCCTACCTAGTTTAAATGCTGTCTTTCTGGTCGCACTCAGTTTGTTCAGTTAAAACATTTTACATCACCGTCTTTCCCAGTCACTAGAGGAGTTCCCCAGGGCTCTGTTTTAGACCCAATTTTATTATCTTATTTATCTTCTGTTCTGCTGATGACACCCAGGTCCACCTGACCACCAACCCTAAGTCTATTCTCCCACCGTCTTCTGTCTCTGACTGACTCATGGTTATTCTTTAAGTTTCTCAAGCTTAACAGTGATAAAACAGAGGTTCTCCTCATTGGCACTAAAGCTACTCTGGCAAAACCTGACAGCTTTTCTATTACAATTGACAATGCCATAGTCCCCCCCCCCCCCCACCCACCAGGCTAAAAGTCTGGGTGTTACCCTTGACGGCTCACATCAGTAACGTCACTCAGTCTGCATATTTACATCATCGTTTATGTCAGTCACTTGCAGCTCCTTGCTCTTCTGTTCTTGCAACCCTCATATTGATTACTGGCGTTTTGGCCTCCCTCACAAACTCCTCCATAGACTTCAGCTGGTTCAGAATACAGCTGCCGGTATCATTACCAGAACCCCTCAAATAGAACACATTACCGTATCGATGTTAAGGTTCTGCTTCTCACCCTTAAGACACTTCATAACCTAGTCCCTGGCATCCCTTAAGACACTTCATAACCTAGCCCCTGGCATCCCTTAAGACACTTCATAACCTAGCCCCTGGCATCCCTTAAGACACTTCATAACCTAGCCCCTGGCATCCCTTAAGACACTTCATAACCTAGCCCCTGGCATCCCTTACGACACTTCATAACCTAGCCCCTAGCATCCCTTAAGACACTTCATAACCTAGCCCCTGGCATCCCTCTGATATACTTCACATCTGCACACCCTCTCATACTCCTAGATCATCCTCCTCCATTAATCTCACTGTGCCTCCTGCTTCTTTGTCTGCCATGGTATTTAGAGCTTTCAGTCGTGCTGCCTCTACTCTCTGGAACTGTCTACCACAAGACATCCGTAATACCAGCTCTCTGCCTACCTTCATATCCCACCTTAAGACACATCTCAGCAAATTGGCCTGCTAGTCTAGCATAATATCCTGCAATCATTTTTATTTCTAGCTTATTATTTTAATTTATTGCTTTGTTGGATTTTTATCTGTCATTTACTGTTTTATGTGATTCTTACTGAGTGTTGTAAGGTGTCCTTGATTGCCATGAAAGGCACCTATAAATAAAATGTATGATTATTTTACTGCCTATCTAGTACAGGGTCGTAAGGAGCCCAAGGCAGCATGGAGCCCAAGGCAGGGGATACCCTTGGCCACCCTATCACAGGGCAGCACACACACTTACACTGGGCACCAGGGCTGATCTGGCCATCTGGCATACTGGGCATTTTCCCGGTGGGCCGATGGGTAAGTGGGCAGGACTGGCAAAATTTATCATGGGACCCCCCCCCCCCCCTGCCCCGGAGGGCAGAATTAAGTCTGGAGCTAATTTTAAATCCCAGCCCTGCCCTGCAATGGGCAGCTTAGAAACTGCATTTAGCGATTTAGCCGGGCTATATGGCCTGTGGAAGAAGGGTGTGTGATATGGGAAGAATATGTCTTATAATGACACATACACACACACACACACATGGACACACACACATATACACACACGGACACACACACATATACACACACGGACACATATACACACACGGACACACACACACACACATACACACACACACACATACACACACGGACACTTATACACACACGGACACACACACACACACATATACACACACGGACACTTATACACACACGGACACACACACACACACATATACACACACGGACACACACACACACATACACACACGGACACATATACACACACGGACACACACACACACACATATACACACACATTTGCACACATATACACAAACGCACATACAAATATACACACATAGACATATACATACACGCATATACACACATACACACACATACACACACACAGTGGAAGTAAAATTCAAACTCACAACTATGGATGTGTGAGACTTATTTTATAATCATAATTTATGTCTGCAAAGTATGAATGAGTGTGAATGAAGCAGACATCCAGAATACCCAAGCAGCTCCTGTATTTGGGATTTCTCATAAACTGTAATTCCAGGAAAATCTGTAACTTCTTTCAATGCTGCCTGGAAAGAAGATGCTAACGGTTGTTTTCCTTAAATGACACGCTCCTTTCATTCTTAATTAACAAATGTGCATTGTGGAACAAAATGCAGCTTTTCTGTTCAAACACTAACAATTAAAGAGGATTCCCTGGCAGATAATTATGAATCCTTCAGTTTTAAGAGGACAATCCTCATTAAAAAATAAGGTTAAAATTGAACATTGCCAGTTTTATTCACAACCAGGCATCACATACACATTTATTATAAAGGGTTTAAAATTAACAATTGAAAAACAATTTATATAAAATATACCAACTCAAATGGTTAATAATTATATAATTTGAAATATAGTCAGTGACAAAAAACCCACCCAGACATGGTGGAAATGAAATGAATCTGCACGTGGTGAACGGTCATGTGACTGTATCACAATGATTATAATATCAGACCAAACGGACAGCAGAGTTGGCAGTATGGGCACACTGCTGGTCCCACGTCAGTAGGGTGTGGCACCCCCCCCCGGCCAGGATACATGCAGTGATACAGTGCGGAAGGGAGTCGCACTGCCTGTGGCAAATCGGCCTGCAGCTGTTGTAACTGGCCTAAAGTACCTTAACGATCTCAATCAATGCATCACTGTAAACCAAAGCAAGAATGAAACTTTATTTTAGTCTGTATTTAATATTGCTGCCAATGACAGAGTGTATGCAGCAGACGAGGTCGGCCTATTCAAGTGGAGAAACCAGGCAGAAATAACCATATAGTTTCACAACACACTTTTAGACAGTCATTTCATGCACGGGGTCTTTTAGAAGCGTTCTCGTAAATCCACTTACAGCGATATTAATTGAAATACACAAATATCCTGATTAGCTGAGGGTGGAGGTGTCCGCGTCGTCTGTGGGCCGCTGTCCGTTCAGCACCACCCGAGCCCGCGTCCGGCCAGCTCCCTTCCCTCATTTTAATTTTGTTTGTACAGTACTTGGTTTTATAAATCGTTGTAATTCTGACTCAGTAATGTGAGGTATGTCCATTTGACATGAGCCCCGTTGCAGCACAGACTGCAGGGTTGGTACGCCAGCTTGGGATACCCCACACTATAATGCGTTTCTGATGAGTATAAGAGGCTCTCAGTGACAGCTGATCCGCAAACAGACATTCAGAGAGTGTTACAGTGTAACTCCTTTGTTACCTCCTGGCATTAGCTCTAGATGAGTCACACCAGAAAGAGACTTCGTAACAATCAGAGTCCGTTGGACTGAAGGGACTCAGGGTCACAAACAGAGAGATTTTGTTTTATACTTTTTTTTTTTTGTAGCGTACCTCACATGGATTCTTCAGCTTGCAATGTTTCAGCTCAGCTACAATGTAACAGAAAGCCAGCTGAAAAGATGAAATTGTGTGTATTGTGTGGTGTTTGAATACAGTGATTCTCATGATACAATGCGAGCTGTGTTATAATAAATGTTTTTTGTTCTTACAACAAGCTCTTTGTACAATAGCGTGACTTTAAAATCAACGATTTATAGGACAGTAATGGTGGGCTGTAACAAGGAAGATGAAATTGGAGTTTTAAACATTGCTCTTATGTATCTCACAATTGCCCCCTTCTATATAATCAATGCAGGTGCCTTTACTTACCCAGAACCACAGCCTGGGGTAACAAGGATTACATAAGATGACTGCTTATTAATGATACTATATAAGGGACGCATTACCCCTGATTAGTTAGAGGGAAGAGCGCCGTTCATGAAGGTTGATGACAGAACTACAACCTTATAAAACCTTGTGGCTTCCCATTGTGTTCTCCTTTTATATTAATTTATATGAATTCATTTTATTAATGATTAGTCATTAATGATTAGTCATTGCATAGCGCAAGTGGACAGAAGATCATCCAGGGCAAATTTTCTTTGTGTTCCATATATATAAATGCAGCATTCAGTTGGAGGCAGGGTGGATTATCAGGCCCCAAACTATACTTTTTATAGGGTCTGGGGAACATGCTGTACTTTAAAAAGAGGTTCAAACTGCAGCAGAGCTGCTAAAGCTTGTGAACGTTGCTCATTTATTTTAGGAAGCCTGTAAGACAGTGGAGTAGGTGTGTCCTTGCCCCACCCAAACCTCTGTGCCGTACTAGTTCCTGTATTTCAAACAACACTCTGTTGTATGTTTATGATTATACAGGTGTTAAATTAATTACCCTGAGTAAAATAGAGGCATATGACTGCATATAAGTATGATTTGTGGTATACTTCTGTTATGTTAAACACAGAGAACAAACAAGTGCTTTTTTGGAATGTAGAGTCCCCTTAAAAAGGAATAAGAATTGAAGTATCTGGCAGGGAATTTGGTTGCTTGTTTAGCCATGAAGATATCGCAATATTATTAATATGTAACTACATAAACCGAATGATAAAGCATGTTTGTAACTATGTTGAGGGTTTTGATACAATCAGTATTTATGGGGATAGATGCTTTGTTTTGAAATAAAATCCTTCATATCTCTATAGGTCAGACATTCTTCTGTTGAGCTTTGGAAAATAGGTGGGTGGTCAGTCACTGTACCTCACTGCCACCTTACTGTATCTGAATAACAGACCTTTTTGCCAGACGGTCTGCAGAATCACCACAAGAGGGCAGTGCAGCACTGCTGATCATTTTGAAAACTAAGCATTCCCGCAGTGTGCAAAAAATGTTAGTTTTAACGGCTTAATTATTATTATTATTATTTGCATTTTTATATTATTTTACGTTGTCATTTGAAATCCAGTGTAGTTGTATTAGTTTTTATGTTACATACAGTACCAGTCAAATTTTGGACACACTCACCCACAGAAAGGTGCTTCATGTACATATTCAGACCAACAGACATTTTTGCAACAGCTACCTAAATAATATTTTAAAATGGTAACGGAAAGCATTGACATTTATCTTTACTTTATTTCAGATCATTTTGAAAAGAATATTGCCAGCAGCAATAAAGCCTGCAGTTCAGACTAGGTAATCCATCTGAAGCTAAACAGGTTTGGTTCTGGCCAGTGCATGGATGGGATACCCACTAGGAAAGCTGGGTTGCTGCTGGAAGAGGCATTGGTGTGACCACCAGGTTAGTCCATCCTGTGGTCTGTGTGGATCTCAATGCCCCAGTGCAGTGATGGAGACACTGTGCTGTGAATATTGAACTTTCCTTTAGATGAGATGTAAAACCGAGCTCCTGACTCTCTGAGGTCATAACAGATCCCTGGGCCTCCTTTGAAAGAGTAGAGGTGCTACCCCGATGTCCTGGCTAACATTGCCCACTGAGGCCCTTTCAGATCTGGCCTCCTAATCATCTCCTGTATCTAACTGGTGAATTCTCTCCTGCCCCTTCCCCACCTTAGCTACTATGCGGTGAGCGTACTGGTGCTATACAGTGCTGGTGGTTCAATTCAATTCAAGATTCTTTATTTGTCACATGCATAGTTACAGGTACAGGTACAACATGCAGTGAAATGTATCCTGAACCTCTCACACTTTGTGCCAATAACAAAGAAGTGCCCCCCCATCAGTTCTGTAAAGTGTGTTGGGTGTCTTGATAAGTGCTATATAAATGTAACTTTCATTCATTTTTAGGGTTTAGTTGTAGCTGTAGTTTTTTTTTAGTTTAACCTTGCTATCGTGTTTGGGTCATCACCGATCCGTTTGTGAGTTTAAAATGCATAAAAGCACCACATAAATTTGTGTACAAAATAAATTTAAGCTTTTTTTTTTTCCCACTAGGCAAGGCATGCCCATACATGTAAGGCAAGATAAGACCAATTCAATTTATTTATATAGGTCTCTTGAGGTTTATTTTACCATTATTTTTTATTGAAAACGAGAGGTATGCTGTCAAAAGAAAGACACACCAAAAATATTAAAACCAATCATTTCATGGAGAAGGAAGCCTAACAAGGTAACCAAGAGGTAAGAAACAAATTGGATGATACATAATTGTTTTCAGGGTATTTTATGGCTGATTTAAGAAACGGGTCGGCACCGGCCCACTAACATAAGAGATAGGAACAGAAAGCTAACACAGGAGGAAGGTTAAGTGTCGTATCTTATTTCATTTCAGGTTATGAAAATGTTTTCTTATAATTTTCATTAATAACATTTTATTAAGTTTTTTTTTTTAATAAATGCCACCTAAGTAATATATCTTTAAACCTAAAATCACTATGTCCTTAAGTAACCTCAGTAGGGAACGGATGAAAATAACTGCCAACAGCCTCCTGAATTCTAGGAGGGTATTAATTATGTGTACTGGAGCAGTCTAGGTTAGACAAAACTTTATAAGCTCAGGAAAAGGTGCTTTCCAGGGAACGAATCCTCAACTTTTTCATCATGTCAAGTTTCCTTAACGGTTTGCTACATACTGCCTGCAATGTGTCGGGCGCAGTACTGGTAAGAAAGACGAGTAACTACACTGCAAACTGTAAACCATCTCAAACCCCGGCATCCTGGAATGCTGCCGGAATTTCTGTCAGCAGGAAACACTCCGGCATATAGAAGAGTCTGGAAAAGCCGTTTCCTGTGGGGCTCAGCCCTCAGCTCAGCAGAGAAAAAGCAGTGAGACACACCCAAGTGTGCATATGTGCAGACACAGTGCAGATACATGTCACTCCACAGAAAAGGCAGGTGGTCATTCAGAGACTAAAGTTTAATGGCACAAATAGAGAGATGTGCTACTTTAACATGGTGGATGGTAGTGCGCACATTTCACAGAAAATGATCATAAACAGTAAAAAAGAACTCAAGATAACTTTGGCTCATTGAATCACATTGCAAATACTGGGAAAAAAGGAGAAAATCCCTATCAAATAATCATGTCGCAAAACATTTTAATCATACTATACTCACAGTAAAGATAGCTGGAGATAAGTCACCCTTTTCAAAAGGTTAGAAGTTTTCTTATTCAGAAAGAGGGAAGCAAAAACTCATTTTTAAAATGAAGTTGAAAGCAGGAGCTCCTTCAGTCAGTAGATATTGAATCAAATTTACATTCCACAGTGTTTCAGGGGTCCCACAGGAAGCGAGACGTATTTTCATCAACAGGACATGCTGTCTTATGCGAAAAACGGGGAGTACATTTCCCTGTGTGACAAGTCACTGTTTGACACACACAATGCAAAAGATAACTTATCTGGACCGATCAAGTCGTTACTGCTTGTTTTTCGCGAGCTTAACGAGGGAAGATATGCAAAAATCATGGAAATAAATTCCGAAAGGAATTCAATTAGACCGGCGATCCTGCCAATTGCAGAGCGCGCTGTTTGTCTAAAGTTACACGAGGGAATTGACACTTAGCATTCAATTATTTGTACAATCTCTAGATAATGGGGCTTTTTTCTTACCCCCACAACAGAAACTGTAAATGCCATAGAAGCAAAACAAAAATCTGCAGCATGCTGTAAGGAAGTCAGATTATGAAAGTAACGGCGCAGGTCAGTGCAGGAGCAGCTTTGTGTATCAGATCATTTAGCAGGGGTATCTAAACATCACGAGGAGTGTGATGTGAGAAAAGGGACAATAAGTTCTCCAAAAGGCCAGCACCCCCCCCCCCAACACTAACAGACCTCATTGTACCATTAGTCCGACCTTCATCTGTACCAGACCGGGTCGCCATGGTTACAGGAACGGTCTCCGGGGTTATGTAGAGGTATGAGTGACAAAACGAGTTTATAATTTTGAATATCAAAACATCCACTTGAATCATGCCACTGAGATGCACGCACATCACTATATCAACATAAAAGTCCCTCCATCACTATATCAACATAAAAGTCCCTCCATCACTATATCAATATAAAAGTCCCTCCATCACTATATCAACATTAAAGTCCCTCCATCACTATATCAACATAAAAGTCCCTCCAGCTCATTGGAGTGGTTCCTCACTTTAGAATGGGGGGGACGGGGCGGCACTACAAAACAGGGGTATCCCAGAGCCATGCAGTGGGCCATGCGTCAGAGCTGGGAGGGGAAGGACACTGGGATTCAGGGCACATGCTCCCCCCCCACCCAACGTGGTTCCTCCTCCCCCAATACTTCCCGCAAAAACATGCATTTGGCATTTGCCCAGACGATATAGCAAACTGCGCATCCCCCCACCCTCCCCGCTCCATCTCCACCACGACCAACGACTGCACGCCAACAGACACAGACAAGTATAAACACCTCCCCGATGTACATTCTCCGCCGCTGGAAATGGACACCAGTCTCCTAGTGCCGTCAAAAACCAGCTAATTATCATGGCGCCCTTTGGAAATACATAAAGTATAGAACAGATTTTATTTTAGTATCTGGTTAAACTAGTCAGCTGAGCACAGATGTGAAGGAAGAAAACAAAGATCCTGTGGACCTTCCAGGACTGTAAGCGAAAAACACGGAGAGAGGCCCAGAAGAGAGGAGGAGTAGGAATAACACTTTGTGTATAAAGTGAACGTGCGTTTGAGATCCTCAGATAGATTAAAGAGAAAGATGATGGTGATGAAAACGGCATGGACTTCATAAACCGGAAACATCCAGCCGTCGCATATAAAAGCTATTAATCTGCTATTAGATGCACAGGGGAGTATTAATCCAACCTCAACCGCTGGAATTCATAACAATACACATAGCCCACTTCTGAAACATCTTCTAAAAGTGAGTATAATTTCAAAGATGCTTTAGTAAGGAACATCTTTTTTAATCTTCCTCTGAGCTTTAACTTGATACTTTCAGACAGAACCAAAATACCATTAAAAAAAATAAGAAAATATGAACTTAAATGAAAAAGATGATTGATCAGCAGTGCTGAGTTGCATTTGAGAACTTTAATGTCTTAGTTCCAGATTTTTTTGTGTTGAAAAAGGGTTTCCATACTAGTACTATCATAATCAGGGATTGACATAACTGGTACACAAGTACACATTCACCTTTAAAAGCGATACGTGCAGTAATCGATTAATGTACAAATGCAAATACATACGTATTTTATGAGCATTTGTGCCGATATGACAATAAATTATAGTGTATTTTAACCTTTATATGCTAACTTGTACTTCATTTGCGGTACAGAGGTTAAAATGAACGATAATTTCTTGTCATATCGGCACAAATGCACATAAAATACGTACGTATTTGCACTTGTACGTTAATCGATTGCCGCACGTTTCACTTTTAAAGGTGAATGCGTACTTGCGTACCAGATATGTCAATCCCTGACCACAGTCGACTGACCCTGACCTGCACAAAGGCCACCACTATGCCAGTGAGCTCTGTTCCAGTTTTCACAAAAGCGAATACAAATCCGAAAACAAACTATGCGAATGTCCGCTTTCTCTCCCCTCCTTGTTGGCTCTGCCGACGGTCGTCCAGGCCCACTGCGTGCTCACAGTTTAGTCAGATCCCGCAGTGCCCTGGGTCCTGGGCCCACAAAGGATGAGGTCACAGTTATGAGCTGATGAAAGCCAGGTGGGGGGAGGCAGGTGTGGGGGGGCGGGGGGCAGACAGGGCCAAAACAGTGCAAAACAAAAAAACCCAGAGGTGACTGAAATCAGAGCCCATCCTTCATCTTATGAATCATACTAAAGGCGCCTCTCTGTGCTGCACTTCCTAAAAACACAGGAGTGACATCACACACCCCGATTCCCACTTTACTTTGATCCCTGGAATAAAAAAATAAAAAGAAAAGAAAAAAATAAAAGGAAAAAAAAAATACAAAGGTGTGTCAAAACAACCAAAGTGAAAATGGGAACTGGGGTCATTCCAAAAACCAGCAGTAATCCAAGCACAGATTTCTTGGCAGTGACAGTGAAATGAGCTTAATCTAGAACTGACGCATACCGAGGCGAGCCAGTGGCAGAGAGGAGGAAGAGAGAGACAGGAGCAACAGAGAGATGACAGAAAGGGAAAAGGAAATGGAGACATGGGGTCCTGCTGAAGCAAGTAAACCTTAGGAAGAGGCTTTATTCTCAAACCAGGCACTACAATGTGGGTAATCCTGAAGCGGCTGACAGGAAGCAGCCACTCCTTAAGGAAGTAAGCAGGCGGGCCCCGGGCACTTCCACCATGAAGGGCCAGAACCGGTGACTCCGCCATGAAGGGCCAGAACCGGTGACTCCGCCATGAAGGGCCAGAACCGGTGACTCCACCATGAAGGGCCAGAACCGGTGACTCCGCCCTGCTGCCCTACGGGGCCTGAGCTCCGAATCTCCAAATTATCAGCTGGAGAAGGATGGGGGGGCTCTCTCAGATCAAGACGTTTCTAAAACCCACTAAGCATTTCAAAAGAATAATAATAATGATGATGATGACAATGCCAGCAGGCTGATATTTATCTGGCTTCACCTGTACATGCTCAGAGCTCCCGGTTTGGGAGTCACGCCCTTCAGCAGCTTCTTCCACATTGATTTGAAAATAGAGTGAAGTGCAAACTTCATCTCAGAAAGTGGCCCTCCTACAAGAATGTCTCTGTCTCTTGCTCCATGGGCCGAGACCCCTGGCTGACTCCATCTTCCAGCCAAACACCCCCCCGGCCCCCCGCCCCCGAGGATGAAGTCTGCCATGATCTGGGGGCCCCGAACACCATCCCTCAGGCTGCACGGTTACATCGACGGAACCGAGCGAGAGCAAAATAAACAAGGAGGTACATACTGCCACACACAAACAAAAACAAGAACACTGGACTGCTGCCTGGGAGACCGACAGGCAGTGAGGATGCGAGCGACGTGAGGGAGGGGGATGGGGCCGGGGGGGGGTGTAAGACTCATAGAGAAAACCAAAGAGAGGGAGGGAGGGAGAGAAGAAAGAGCAGCAGGGAGAGAGAGAGAGAGAACAGCGCAGCTAGAGCACTCAGAAAGGGATCTCTGCGACCTTCCCAACAGCCCTGGGCCCCCACACCCTCACAAAATAAGGGGAAGGGGATGTGGAGGGAAATGTTGCCTGACGGGACGTGGCAGGAGCAGGAAGACGAGAACTAGGAGGATGAGAAGAGATAAGGTAGAGAGATGTAAGGCCAAGGCGGGGGTGGGAGAGGGGGGTTGTGACACTTGAGCATGACAACTCAACGGACCCCAGGCACTTGTTTGGCTTGTGTTCAGAAGGAGCTGGTGGAGGGTGTGGTCAGTCTCTTCCCGATGTAGACCCTGAGGACACCAAAGCGACCGTGAGGGCTCCTTACTGACCAGTCCACTCGGCTGCCAGACAAGCGTCTCCCTTCAGGACACACACCCACATTCTCGCATGCTCTGCATTTTCAGCTATGGCAACCAGACAGCCGCGCATCTAATATCAATTCACTTACACGACTTTCATGGACTGAGTGAATAACTAATTAACTGAGATCACGGCTTCAATCAAAAGAAACTTTATAGGTGAGGTAAGTTGTAGGTTTGCTAAAACATTTCTTCTGAAACAATTCAAACAGGGTTCGTTATGACTTTTTTTGAGACTTGACAAGATACTACACTGGTAAAACAATCTCACAGTGTGTTGTGTGTAATCATGCACATATTACATACTCTGAATGCAATCAAAAAACTAAAAATGCCAAAAGTCTTTGGTTACTTATGGTTAAGGTTAGGGCTGGGTAGGGGTTAAGGTCGTCATGTTGGGATTAGTTTTCCCCATAGAAATGAATGGAGAGTCTCCACAAATATATGAGTACAGGTGTGTGTGTGTGTGTGTGTGTGTGTGGGCATGTTTCACATACTCACCCCAACCCCAGTGCCAGGATGTGGGACAGGAGCAGGGAAGGGATGAAGACCTTGAGGAACTCTGCAGAGAAGATTCCCCCTTTCTTCATCGCTCCGGTTTTTCGCATGCTCAGGGTCAGAGATCGACGAGGATGCCGGAAATGGAACTCTCTACGGATAAGGGAAACACAGGGGTTACCATAGTCACCACGTCGTAGCATGTGACTGATGTCACCTTCACATTACACACACATAGATCCCATGTACGTCCGTAGGATCTGTGTTTCAGATCTACCAACAGATTTTCATATCAAGTGATCACCACTTGGTGGCGAGATGGATTTGCTGCACAGGGCGTGGGCTGGATCGACCAAGACAAGCAGTAGGGGTTTGCTGGGAATATCTGGCTGAGGCTTCGGGGCCAGATGGATTCAACTCACACCTCCAGAAAAAGTTCTCACATGTGCTGAGTGAGGTCGAGGACACGGAGCCTGAATGGGCCATGTTAAAGGCCCCATCTGCTACAGCTGCCGTCAAAATTAAGGTTTGTTTTCATTTGCACTAGTATTAGCACAAGTATATCAGTATCAATGAGTATTGGTACATTGAGATGCTTCTTCTCACATATTCTATTCTGCTCCCTGGAGACACATGCAAGTGTGAGTGAAGCCTGAGGTTCAGCCATTTATCTGGGACCCCTGGAGCAATAGAGGGTTAAGGGCCTTGCTCGAGGTCTCAACGGCAGCATCAATCTGGCATTCACGGGATTTGAACCAACGACCTTCCGATCCCTGGAGTCCTAACATGCTGAGGAGTTTGGAGAGGCCACAGAGACAGATGACTGGATGATCCCAAATATGCTTTGGCAAATTGTTTGTTGCCTCAGGAGGAGGCGAGACCTTGCTCAGAGCTCCTTAACCGGGTAATCCCTCAAATTCAGGTGGATGGGAGCCTATCGCTGCAGATCAAGTCACAGTTGGTCAGAGGCATCCACAGTGAAAAGAAGTATTTGAACTGCATATTGTGAGCACTGGATGTCATTGGAGGGACACTGCTGATTGCTGAACTGGCAAACAGGGAAAGTCACTTTTAAAAAGGGGGACCAGATACTGTGCTCCACCTACAGAGGGATGCTACTTCTCAGCCTCTCAGGAACCGCATGTGCCAGAGTACAGGATAGACCAATGGTCGACCCTAAGATTCCGCTGGAACAATGCTCATTCTGGCCTTACTTCTGAAGAGTGGACCAGCTCTTCTCCCTTGTACAGTCTGCGCTTTGTGAACTTGGAGAAAGCATAAGACTACGTGTCCTGGTGGAAGTACTACAGGAACAAGGGGTGCCAGGGATTTTATGCTGAATGTTAAACAGTGGGAATGATGATCAGCACCATGGAGGCCATTGTACTCTCATGGAGAAGAGTGGATTGGCCCTTTCAGATGAGGGGGGCACTCTGCCCAGTCTCTGTCCCTAATATCATGATCTGTGAGTAATGACTAAAAAAAGTACAGATGGCTAGGGTGAGGTTTCTCCACAGGGTTGCCAGATTCTCCATCATGGAGTGCGGAGTTTGGAGATCTGGACGGAGCTAGAAATAGAGCCATTAGAGGAGCCATCTGAGGAGATTCAGGAATCTCACAAGGATGCCATCTGGGATGGTCCCAAGGGAGCGATTACAGGCAGATCCCACATGGCTGACGGCCCGGGGCAGACCCAGGACATGCGGGAAGGATTACATCTCCTAGTTGGCTTGGGAACATCTAGGGATTCCCTATAAGAAATCAAAGTCTATCGCCATGGAAACACAGGTCTGATCTGACCTGCTTGGCATGCTGCCACCGTGTCAAACTGGAGGAAAATTAGGTGAGGATACATTTTTGTCAGTTTTGAGGGAACTTCTCTTGGAGCCCCATAGGTGGCAGCAGTGGGTCGCCGGAACCTTCCATCCATCTACTGGAGTGAGCCTGAAAGACGAGGCTGGGGGGACAACTCACTTGGGGGGGACGTTCTCGGGCCGGCTGGACCAGTCAGCCACCTTGTCAGGACCCTTCATCAGCAGGATGTCCTCGTCCCGCTCCTTGTCCAGAGCTTCTTCTTCTACCTGCAGTACCAAAGACATCAGAAAGGTAGACAGTGGGATGGGGACCCCTACTGGTGGGTGGACTCTGGGACAGGTGTGCCGAACGCCCCTACCTGGCTGTCTCTCCTGCTGGGCATCTCGACGTCGAAGGTAATCTGACCCTCATTCCGGTCGGGACTATGGGGTCGGGGGGGACTGAGAAACAAACATGTGTCACTCAAAATAGCGGGGGGAGGATATCACGACCCACACATACACCTGTCCTGCACAGCATTTACATTTAATACCATTTTTATCCGACACAGCATTTTATATCTGAAATAAAATAACTGTAGGAAAAACAAGTAGTGCATTAATTTACTTTTCAAATTGACTTTCCTAGTAGATCACAGCATTATGAGGATGTTTTAGACGTCTTTTTTCATGGTTTAAAAACACTATTACATCTACCTATTTTCATGGCTATTTACATCTTGTTTTAATAAGCAAATTTCTAATAAATCAGACTTTGTATTCTGCTGTTTTTTATTCCCCCAGTAAGAATTCACTCAGCTAAGTGACTCACACATACGATCCAGGTGAGTGTCAGAGGCGCAGTGGCCGCACCTCCTGTCCTGCAGGCTGGAGACTCCGTCTGACATACCTGCCACAGGAGGAGCTGCTCTGGCTCGACTCGTGCTGCGCGTCCAGCAGGATCTTCTCCATGTCGCCGTTGTGGATGGAGGAAGACGAGGGCACGTGCTCCAGACCCCCGCCCAGGCCCTCTTCCTGCTCCTCCTCTGCTATGCTAACAGGAGCCTCTCCCACATTCCCGTTGCCTGGGACGGCGACTGTCAGCGGCACATTGGCCAGCAGGGGGCCACTGGCTGCAGTGTTCCCGTTCATTTCCAGCTCAACCCAGGACCCTGTGGCAAACAAATGGCAGCAGGTTTGCAGTGACCTAGAGTCAGTATTTTCCACACTGACCGGCACATCGTCCAGTGCCCGCGGCATTCTCATATTCAGGTGTCAAAAAACACTTACAGTACTTGAGACCCCCCATCCCCCTCCCCATGTAATACACCACTGAAAGACAACTGGGAGCTTGTCCCACTGCAAATCCGCACTTGGGACGGGGAGTGGCAACTGGATGCATAGCGCAGTGTGTTTGCGGGAGAAGGCCCACGTGAACATCAGCTGAGATACCCTGCCTGGCACTGTCCCAGAGAGGCAGAGCTGAGAAACGTGTGGAAGCATATCCGCACTATGGCTGCCATAGCAGCTGACACTCAGTAGGGTGCAAGCCAACTAGGGCACCTGCACCTCTCTTTAAAGTCAACAAGAAAACACTCAAGCTGTCACCTTTGAAATTAGTACGAGGGTAACGTCGTACCCTTTACTAAACCCCAGCTAAAATATCAATATAACTATGAACATACTAGACTGAATATATTTGCATGTAAATGTATATTAAATTGGGTGTGGGTGTGCATGTGTTTTAATAAAAGGGCTTGTATGGATAATTATTTTATAGACTTTAAATCTGCTAGACGACCGCTGGCTCATTAAGTTTCCGCACCGATGACTTGTCAGTTTACATAATTATGTGGTGGACTGCTCAACTGCCATATCCAGGCTAATTTGGTGTGCCGTGAAAATGGGCAGGACTGACTTGAAGGCAAAGTCTACAAAGATGGCAGCTGTGAATTCAAGCCATCTGACTGCAATTTGGTTTCCCTTAAACTTCAATAGATTTATAGTCATATTTCAATAGACTATTGGTTTTATTCTAGTCTTATGCAGTTATGAAGTGTGAAATGCTTAGAGCAGCTTCTTCAGTTACCAGATGGACTTTGGCCATGGGGTCTGGTGGTGGTCCTCTATAACTCCTTCCAGTGAGCAAGAACCAGTATGTCTTAGAACATGGAATTGCCCGAGAAATCCATTAATGTGCTTTTTATTTTGCACATGGCAAGTTTGGTTACCTGAGATGATGACGGCGTCACACACAACATACCAGAACTGCCCCACTGCATTGGATTTTTACTTGAACATCACCCTAAATTACCAATACAAACTGCCTAAATGTACCTGTATGTAATCTTAAAAACCATACACTGTATTGGATCATGACATCTTATTATTTTAAAGTCTGAAGGGAAATCTATTCCAGTTGAACACTTGCACATTGCAGTTGTAAACATTCTTTGCTGCATCTAAAATTCTATCCTGATATTTATGGGAGTTATGAAAGAAAAAGAGCACTTTGAAGAGGATGAAAGGGGAGGCGCTGAGGGAGAGAGAAGGTGGACCTTTGAAACTCACAGAATATTTCCACTTGACCCATAAGCAGATGCACATTGAAGTATAATGGGTTGTTGGCAAAGTGTGAATATCTCTAAGTCAGGGGAGCTTCTAGCTATTGAAAAGATCAGGGGTGAAGTCAAGATTACCTGGGGCTTGACTTAGTTTTCTGAAGGATGATAATTGGCATGGGGGCTAAAATACCATGCAAGTTTTTCTTATACATATCTTTCTGATTCATAATATCACAGCTGACCTGTGACCTCCGTGTTCTTAGTTATTCTTTGGAACAATTTAAAAATAGGGAATTCCTTTCTCTATTTCCCCATAAATATATTAGGTTGCTGACAGAAAAACACCAACAGCCTGCCAAGTAGGGGAAGCGTTTCAGAGCAAAGTGTGTCTAGGGGTGAATCAGCCAGACCACATGCAGGGACTTAGAAGAGGCCTCTGAAGCACCATCTGACACGGCCTTTCTGCCCAGACCGGTGTCTCGGAGGAGACGGTGACCGCCGACCGCAGCCTCTGACCGGCTTTCGGCTCCGTCTCTGGAGTCCGGCCCATTGTCTTCCCTCAGCCTCATCAGCGGGTCACCATGACAACTATGCTCAACATTCCACTGACCGGTTGTCACCATGGCATCAGCAGTCATAAAGCCCTCCGGTGACAAACATCTCACCCTGAAGTGGGAGTTTGTTTACCCAACTGTATGCAGCTCCTGTCTGGAAAACTGTCAGCGCAGTGGAGTGATCATACCGGAAACAGAGCCTGATCCGCCACATTCTTGCAATAGAAGAGAATACATTATGAATGTTTCTTTTTTTAAAATATCGTGCATTTATTATTTGTCATAAAAGGAATATTTCTTTCTATTATTATACCATGGACACCAAAGCATAACCAGAAGACGAAGTAATTTAAAAAAATATTAACGTTTGTAATTGAACTTCATTATGATCAGAAGCTACAGTTATCCTTCAGCTCTCAGTAAACAAAGATTCAATTAAGGCTACTGCAGAAACTAATACAGTATGTCACCAAAAGTGATATACAGCATAGTACTGTAACTTTATACATGTAGAAAAATCTATTCAAGGTAAGAATTCACCTTAAGAGCTACCAAAGCTAAATCACGTTCTTGAGGCAGGACCCAACATGTGTTTGCTGGAAGCAAAGGAGGGTAACTAGTCCACTGGCAAAAAGCTGAAGGCCTGGAGATGTCAGCACGAGCCTGTCCGCGTTCACCGGCCACCATGGAGTCGGTGGGTCCTGCTGCCTAACCCTGCTGGCCGGCTGGGACTGAGGGCTGCCGTCGAGGAGGGGAGAAGCTTACGTAACGTCTGGAGGTCGGGGGGGAGCAGCCAGACATGAGTCCAGCTAAGACGCCCCCCCCCTTCGCACACCACGTCATTAGACACCCCACCCACCATGGCAACACTCTCTCCCTACCTGCCAAGGGTCATTCGGACAGAATGGAAAACTTTCTCGAGTGCTTTAAGCACCCCCCCCCACATGCGACACCCACAAAACCCATAAATAGTGAGCGCTGGATTGAACTGGATATTGGTGAGGGGGATCATAACTGCCAGGCTTGACGTTAGAGTTCATCACACGGACATGCTGTTCCCTTCGTTCTCAAAGTATAAACAAGTTTACAAACAATGGCATGTGCCTCATGCCTAATCCCTGGACTGGCCCCAAGGCCTGTTCTTTTGAAGGTTCTTTTGAAGACATTTTTCCAAGATCCACTTGGGTGACACTATTATGGAAGGTAAAAATGTGCCTGCGCTACCACAGCATTTTCATCACAATTAGGACGGCATGGATGTACTGATGATAATGTCTTAAATCAGTCACTGCCCATGGTTGGCGAATGAGGGCAGATGAACATATCTGGGGGGACCTAGGCTGACATCAGCATGGACGCTTAGGTGTTGCCGATTTAACCTACCATTCCATTTTACCCAAGGTGGTGCCCTGATGTTTGCCAGGGCCCTGGGCTACAGCCTAGAACAGCCAATGCATTAATCCGCCCGTCTGTGACACTTCACAAACAGGTTTTTGACCTTACAAATTTTCTTACAAGGTACAGTGATTGAAGGGTGATGCAATAATTAATTCAACGGGGGACCTGCCCTTCAGGTACTATTTTAAATGCTGCTAAAATGTCTATAAATAAATGTACATATTAGCATCTTCTGAAATTGAATGATTTTTAAGTTTCACATTATTGCATCAGGAAAGAAATAAACTAATCTGGAGAATTATAGCATCATATAAACGTCACTTATTTCTTACATAAAACTTTACGTGCGTCGAAAAAGCAGACTTCCTGCTTGTCAACAACTCCTGTGGTTTATCCTTTCATTGAAGGGTGCACCCCCCAGCCCCCACCGACCGGCCACGCCCCTCCCTTCCCTTCTTTTAAAACCCCGGTAATCCTTTGTTTATGTTTCACACCGATCACACATTGCGTTACAGTCCACATTGTATTATATCAAATTATTTCACAAACACTGTATGTAAACGCTGCTGCAAAACCGCTGAAAGCAAAACACTGACGTGCGCCCCCATATCTTTGCAGACACAAAGGCACAGCAACACTGAAAGCCAATAAAACAAGGACACGTGTAATTATGACGGATGCTGCTCATGCTGGACATCTTCTCCATTTGGAATAACCTGTGCATTTTACTTGCTTGAGATCGATTCATGATCATGGTTTTAAATTATTAGAGTTTATTTAATAAAAACCCCGCCCCCTCCCAATCTTGATATGTCATCCTTCTCGCCTTGTTTTCCATCAAAAATAAGCCCTCCTCTTCGACACGACAACAGTGCTCACTGCAAACGGTTGGTTTTAACACCGATCAATCACAAACATACTCTTACGTGTCTTTAACCTCGTCCCTCCCCCTAAAACTCTAAGCGATGTCATTGGTGGATATAGCTTTCATTCTATCGCAAATTGTACGTCATATAAAAATATGCACCCTCCCATGTAAAACATAGGAAATTCCGTTCACTGATCCTGGGTAAACGTAGAGCAGTTAAAACTTGGCACCATTTTTGTTAAATAATATAGCCGATCGTATTTTACGACTATGCGCGCAAGTAATCCCCTCCGTGCTCTTAAATGGCAGAGTCTTCGATGGTTACATACCATTCAGACCAGGTTCATCGTTGTTGTTTTGCTGTGCGGCTGCAGCGGCGGACATCTTGCCTCCGAGTCGCTAGCGTCAGTAAACACGGCGGGCGCTGCTGTGCCTCTCGCTCGCACATGCGGACGTGCGCGTAACCGTGTCCACCATGTGCGGCCCCACCTGAGCCGCGCTGACGTCAGCACGCCCACAGCCAATATTTCAGCTCCAACAGGGCGAGGGGGGGGGGGGGGGGCGTAAAAAGACGACGTGAGCTGTCACACAGTGACAGTATCGCTGCCTCTGTCCTTTGGTACTTATCTTTACAATTTACGACCAGGGTAATTATATGAGACAAGCATAGAAATCCATCACATTAAATGCGCAATCGTGTCATGAATGGCAAAACTCAACTGCAAACGACGGGACAAAAAGCAACAATGATTGTGGGAGAATTATAAGTTACACGATCGTAAATTTAAACCTTTAACAGAAATCACTCACACCCGTTTATATAATTTTGTTTTATTCCATAGTTCAGTGTTGTATTCATCTTTATTATTCACTTATTTAATCTGTATTGGTTATCTGGGTGCCAGAGGCAGACAGAACATTACAGTGAACTTAACATCTGTATAGATTTATCGACACACAGTTCACCCCTCCCCCGACAGAGTCTTAAATGGACCCCTAACACCACCACAATACTATATCATTCATGAAATCAAAACAAAAGTGCACTGAATTAAGAAGCCAGTGAGTATTGTTCACTTGGAGTTCTCCAGGATGGAGCGAATTTCCCTCAAGGTGACCCACCTGAGTTTTTTCTTTTAATAAAAAAAAAAAAAAAAAAAAAGCACACTACTCCATGAATTTCTTTCCCAAAACTGGGATAAAAGACTTCGGTTCCACAATCATTAACTGCAATCAAACTGTTCAATCTGCTCTCAAACCAATGCACATGGACCAACCGATACACCTCCTGCCTGAATAGTTCATTGTGGTGGTGGGGAAATCTTCAAGTATCTATCACTGGCCAAATGGGTTTCACAAAGTTGACTGAATCTCGTCACCGGCTGCGACGAGACAACGCTCAGGAACAGAACACAGACTGGCTTTCATGCAACGAGACTGGTGAAATGACCTGTTCCCAATAGGTCACAGTCAGGTGGACGGAACCCAAACAACCGTCAAGACATTTGAGGAAGTTGAGGGAAGCGACGTGGGGGGGTACCGCTTCACCTGAGAGTACCCAAACAGGAACAGAAGTACATGTCAAACAAATACTAGTTCTTCAAAAGGGACTGACTAAATGAGACCCTTTTGCATCTCGCCCAAGTGTCCTTAAGAGCAATTTATCTAGTGCGAATCATTTTGGCTGAAATGTAATACCCACCCCCCCCAACCTCTACTAAGAGACTGTAAACTGGATTAAGTAGTAGTTGAAGTAGTTGACCTCTAGTCTCCAGAACCTCAATGTAAAACTTTGCAGAGGTTCTCGCAGCAGATGCGTGGAATCTACTATGAAGGTTCAAGGATAACACTAAAATCAAGCAGGCTAGAAAACTCACATCATCCTCAATGCAGCTTAAAAAAATTGTACAAATTAACAGAACTGAGACGAACAATACAGAATCTGAGGGGGAAAAAAAAAAATTACTAACTCACCCTTTGCTAGTGGAATGCAACGTTTTCAAAATGAGATTGTAGTTTAAACCGTAGCACACAAATGCATCACAACACTTCTGACCGCGTTGTTAAATTTCACCGACATATAAGCTTGCTCCCACAGAATACATGTATCTGTTGTGCAAGCACTTAAAGCTGAAGTTTTTGCATTAATCTTTGCAGATAAACATTATTAAAAACACTTTGCTTTCATGGAGATGGCATTCCAAAATGACATCACCCACTGACTTACAACCAGTATAAAACAATGGATTTCTCCTCAATTTCCTTAAAACGTTACTTGGGGGGGGGAGGGGGGGGGTATAGCCCACATTGGCAACGATTCAGCAAGACACTAAATGTTTCTAAAACCGGCACTCGGGGACCCACAGAGAGCCCACATTTTTGCAAACAGTAGAGAGCTGGGAGGGAGCAAAATGTAAACTGTCTGGGGGGGGTCCCAAGGACCGGCTTCAGAAACACTGCTCTAAGACAGTCAAACCTTAATGCCATTTAACCAGACAGGAACATAGTACACAGTATGCTTCCCAAATGCCAGGAAGATCTCAATCCCACCCTGAAGAAACATGCAGAATGAAGATTCAGTCTTTGGGGGTTTCTATGTGCTTAAAACTAAGTGCATTACTTGACTTCAAGATATTCCAGTTTGTTGGAGAACTCACATTCAATCAGTGCTTACTGGAAAGAGGAAAAAAAAAAATCTCCCTTAAGTACACAATATTTTGGTCTTCCTGTTGGCAAAACCGCACATCTCCACTTTTCAAGGTAAGAAACTGGAGTGTGACACACTTTTCAGGAGATGTCAGAACTAACTGTGATCGTTACAGTTAAGATTTTGTTTCCCGCCCAATGGGACCAAAACAGAACTAGATGACAGTATTTATGGAAACACACACATTCTCCCTCGTAACAGCCATGCTGAACAAATGTGCAGAAAACCACAGGTAGTGTAAACTGACCCACCAGTCAAACCAACCAGCCCCTGTCAGTTACAGGCGTGCTACTGGCATGACTAAATCTTTCTGGAGAATTCTTAAGCAATGGACACCTTTCCAAATTTCAACACACTTCTCCTAGTACAGTTACTTGAAGGTTCTTGGCCGGCAGTCCCAAGGACAGATTTGGGGACACCGGGTGAGACCAAATACGAGTAGGGTGTGGTCCCCCCCCCCCTTAAACTTCCCTCCCTGAAATCCAACCCCACCAGGCCGCTCTGATAGCATCCATGAGTACAGCTAAAAATCTTGCCTGAGATCTAACAGCTGTCAAATAAAGAACAGTGACTAGACTGGACAGGACATGGAAGGGTAGATGAGGGTATTATGCTAAACGATTTGCGTAATACAAAAATAAAACTATAGTGATTACTGCTGTACAAATCATTAAGTAAGAACCGACTGAGGACAGAATGGGAAAATCCACTAATGACTGCAATTCATTTGTACAAATTCACAAATATGATGCTTGTTTGCAGATGGTCATCTCCATGTTCTATGTCACGCTGTAATGGCAAATGACGGCAGGCTAGAGAGTGGCTGTCCACTGCAGGGCCCGGGTGCCGCCCCTTCTGAGGAGGCGTGTCCCCGCTGGGCTGCGGACACTGGGGGGGTGGGGGGTTGCGGGGGGGATTGGGCGGCATGCCTGCTGGTGATACTGATCAGCCCACCGACCTGGTAGCGGCCTTCGTCAGACCATCGATCCTGCAGATGGAGTCCACCGTCGCCATGGCGATAGTGGTACTGCCTATTCAGACTTTATCCACCAATCAAAAATTGTAACGAGGTGGTGGTGGGCGAATAAGAATGACTATGAGGGCCAGGGTAACAATTATGGCAACAGCATCAGCTCCTCCAATTATGAGGGGAGGGGATAAGTGGAGGTGGGATGGAGCTTTCATATCCCGTCACTGACCTGTCGGGACTAAGAGCAGAGTGGAGGACATGTTCACAAATTATAAATGGCACTGATGAAACTCAAGAAGCCTAGAGGACTATAGCACAATACTCCATTGAAAGGCTTGGGTTAAAAAAAAAAATTAAAAAAAAAAACCCTGACACTGATATCTATGTTCCCTTTAGAGCAGGGGGGAAGGGAGCTGGGGAGGGGGGCATCCCACCAAAACAGGGTCTTCTAGTGGCGCACAATGTCCAGTGTACTACTGGGAACAGAGACAGGAGGAGGCTGCTGTAGAGTGGGATGCCGGGTCTAGTTCAGCTTGTCCTGGAAAATGTAGAGGTTGTTGGTGGTTGCCACGGCAATGATGTTGTCCTGTGGGTGCCAGGCTGTGTGCAGGATCTTCTTGTTGAAGTCCAGGCTGTCCACGCTGATCTCGTCCTTCTTGCGCTTGCCGCCCGCACACACACGGCGCGGCTTCAGCACCGCGCGCGGCTTGCTGCTCTCCCGCGACGCCTCCAGGGTCACGTCCCGCCGCTGGCCGCGGTCGAACATTCGGAAGAAGTTGTTGTACGAGCCAGTCATGACCACGCTGTTGGGGGGAAATGGGGGGGGGCACACACAAAAGTTTTGGTCTCTCACAGAGATCAATGCTTTTACTGGTAAAGACAAAGGTTATTTGCTTATGACACTGGGACTCAAACCCATAACCACTTGATCACTGGTGCACCAATATGCCGCACCTGTTCTAAAATTGCAATTTTCATTTATTTCTTTGGGGGAAAAAAAACACAACAAAATAGGTTACTACAAGCATCACTGTATGATTTTCCTTTATATAGCGCCTTAAAACTAGGACTGTGAAGTTTCCTGATGGGGGTTAGATGTGTTGATTTTTGGGGTATCAGGCCAGCACTCAGTCAGCATATGAAAGTCATATCTGATGGACGTCCTCAGCGCGCATGACGAAGGACAGGCAGTGACCAGTGGAGCAGGCCGAGCTCCGCGAGCAGGATCGGCGTCAAACACTCTGCCTCGTAAAGATAAACCGCACCCAAAACGATAAGGTGGCTCGGAAAGCCAGGCTCGTTTCCGGAGACTTCCAAACCAGACCCCCAAGCACCCTATACCAGAACGCCAAAAGGAAGAGCTGCAGACAAGAATCTAGCCTAGTAAGACAAGGGTTCTATGTTCAGGTCGCACTCTTAACTATAACGACCACTGTCAAACAGGTGATCCTTAACCGCTTTGGTAACGAGCAATACTGGCCAGACACTCTAGTCAAGTGCCTTGGGGCAACCATTAGAAACAGCACTATATAAATAAGCAAATAGTGTAGGTTGCCCAGCTGTCCATATGTTAATGTGGTGCGTACCATGCTGTACATCCCCTGGTACCTGTATATTAGGTTAGCTGAATCAAAAATTCAGTAACAGTTCTATTAGTGTATAAGACTCATTTCACTGGAAGCTCAGCCTAGCTGCACATATGCTTAGTCGATTCCTCGACAGCCATGTTCGTAACCTGCTTCACCAGTATGTCGCCCCGGACATTAAACATCTGCCCAATGAACTGAACGGTCCTCACCTGTCCTTCCCATTCCAGCAGCACTCGAACTTGTCAAAGATGCAGTCGTTCTCGTAGAGAGAGCATAGCTTGCTTCTCAGGTACTCGTGCACCTGTGCGGGACACAGAATGGGTCACGGCACAGCCCACAGAACGTGCCGGCATAGCTCGCTCACACAGACTGAGACTGGGGGACAGAGACAGCCAGACCGAGACTGCCCCAGGGGCAGCGAGCGTGAATGCACTAAGGAGTGTCAAATGTCACAGATGGGGACTGCATGGTTAGAAGGCATTTTATCCAGAAATGAGACAGCCACCTATTTCCAGTTCATAAACAACCACTTCATCACACCTACGACACAACCAGAGGCTTTCCAGACATTTAGCAGAGCTGAAGCTTGACAAACACCAAAAACACAAAGCAAATCCCACTGCTCCTAGTTACTCTCAGGTACCGTCAATCCAAATGACTAGAGAATGGCAAGAAGCAAGGTGATAAGATCACATTAGCAGTGTAAAGGCTAAACTGCTTATCTGGGTCTATTTCAGTGTTTTAAGAGGGTTAACATGTCGAGCTAGCGTGTCATGCTAGATTATAGCTATCGAGTAAACTGGATGTGTAAAAGTAGCGTAAATGTGAATCTTTATGGTAACGATTAAATGTAATTAAAAGTTAACCATCTGAATAAGGAATATCTTGCATATAGGTATTAGCCAAACTACTCAGTGCTTCAAACTGACAGTGGTACAACCTTGCAAGCAAAGCATTACACAGAAAACATTTAGTAAGAAAATTAGTTATCTATTCAAATGCTACAGAAATGAATGTTTGGATCAAGCCCAAGGTTAGCAGGAGAGACAGCCAGGATAGACCAAAGTCTGTGATGAGTGGGCTGGACAGATAGCCATGTTAGATGCAATGGAATCAAAACACAGAGGGTAACAGCACAGAGCCCAAACACTCCCCCTGGTGGACACTCAAAGGAAGTGCACAAATCGGAGGATCCACCACTCTAGGGGGAAAATCCAGGCCAACACGCCCCGCCCCACCCGCCTACCTGGTAGGTCTCCACTGGCCGCGTCTCCATGTTCAGGTCCCAGATCTTCACTGACAGGTAGTCGCGGGTCATCATGTAACGCCCGTTGTGGCTGAACTTGACGTCGGAAATGGAGGAAATGATCTCAGAAAAGAAGGAGCGGTTGCTGGGGTCTTCAGGCTCCTCAAACACTGGCCAACGACAGATGGAGAAGGAGGTGAGCACTGCCGCATGATGCACCTGTGTCGGCAGGAGGTGGCGCTGCGACAAAGGAACGGACTTTGAAGCCTTAATGCTTGTGGCCCACATCAAGCAAGAAAGTGTGGCACTCAATTGTTTTAATATCCAGCTGTATGTAAGAGCATAAATTAACAAGTGAATAAAATGAGGGATGACGCTGCCTCACACCTCTGGGGTTTCATACAAGCCTCCTCTAGTTTATTCCCACAGTCCATCAACATGCAATTCAGGTCAATTGGGGAGCCGAAATTAGTCTGCAAGTGTGCATCTGGCATACTCCCAGCCACTGTAGCATTGCAAAGCTGAATGAATAAATTAAATGGGGAAAAAAAATACATTTCCTAGCAAACATACAAATTTAGAGTCCATTAAGCCTTGCTGTACTTAAGATGGTCTATAGAAGAAAGCACACCAGACACACAGCCTATTAAAGGCACTTTTTGGCATAAAATGATCCAGAGAGCTCTAACCAACAAGAGAAGGAAAAGTGTTAAGGACAGTTTAATAGTATGATTCAGTGGTTCCTCGCCCCCTCTTGCCCAGAGATGGTATATTCCGGTGCTGTACCCTCCCCAGCCCATCGTGGCGCAGCCCAGGCAGGTACTGACGTTTGGAGTGCTTGTCACACAGGGCTGAGGCACGCATGTCACACAGCCGAATGGTGCCTTTGCTGCTGCTGTAGACAAAGGTGTTGCAGTGGCTGGGGTGGAACTCCGCTGCAGTGATCACCTCCGTCAGCTCCTCCATGTTGGCTGGCTTGATGTCCACAATGTCTGCGAGGCCACCAGTCAAGGGCAAAAAGGCTAGTGCCATGGACTGCATGGGATGACAACCAGCTCCCCCACAGAGAGAAAGAGCACTGGAAATGCTGGGGACAGTATTTAATTGGTTATGAGGTCAGGTGACATTTATCGCATATTCCAGAGTTGTAGACAAAACATCTAGAATACATTACATACTGAAAAACACATAACCGCGTTGGTGAGGAGATGCCAGTTTCCACTTCAAAACAGAGAAAATGGCAAAGCCGTTTAAATCCTGCTTAGGTCTCCCCCACACGCCAAGGCAGGGGGCACCAGGCAGACACACACAGACAGCGCAAGGCTGCACATGTGGCAGCTCCAGTTCATTCTCATGGGTCACCAACACAGCTGGTTCACATGCTGGGAATTCACTACTGTCACATGCGCAGCATTGGTACTGGGCAGCAGGATGCCAACGAGGAGGACCTCTACACAGGGAGGACCAGTCCGGCTAATACTAGACCGACTGACCAGCCAGGAAAGTTAGCCCCGCATTAAGTTTACCATGAAAGTAACACTGGTCAACAATCTGTCTGTGTGGCACAGGAATGGAAAAAGGTCAATCTTACAGTACCTTTCGTGCTGAAAAGAAATCTAATCGGAATTCCCCCATCAGGCAAAGATTATGAATCACACAATTATACCCTATGCTATACACATATTTACAGTATATGTGCGTGGTGAATGTGACATCTGAAAGGTAGAAGTATATGATTTTCTGTTGTACTGGGTGTCAGGAATGTGCCTCTTAAGGGTCCAGCAGATGCCAGCCAGCACACTGGGACGCCTCTTGCCTTGATATCGGTTTTCCATATCAGAGAGAGCAGAATCCTGCCTCAACATGCCCAAACGTGTCGCATTCTGTAAACTCTGGCAAAACAGACCTCCAAGTATTTTGTGCTCTTCTGTAAGGCCTTAAAAATGTTAATGCATAGAAATAAAAACATTTTCCTATTTGTTGATGGGTGTAATTAATATAACACCTACTGATATACTGCTTTGGATGAGTGGGGGGGAGGGAGGGGGATGGATGGGGGGTAAATCCTGCTTAGGTCTCCCCCACACGGCAAGGCAGGGGGCACCAGGCAGATACACACACGCTCACGCGCACACACGCGTACACACACGCGTACACACACACGCGCACACACACGCTCACGCGCACACACACGCTCACGCACAGGATACTGAAGCTGCGGTCCGTGATCTCCAGGTGCCACAGGTTAACGCGGAGGTCGTCGGCCGACAGGTAGGTCTCGCAGTCGCTGTTGACGGAGATGGAGTTGATGTGGTAGGTGTGGGCGTTGGCGAAGACACGTCGAGGACTGGCCTCCACCATCAGGTCCATGGGGCGGAACACCGGCACCTGTGTGAGTTTATTAATAGACAATCAATTACAATATTTTGTTTGTTTTTGATATTTTAAATTTTCATTTGAAATCCAGTTTTCATTAGTCTTCAGTTTAGTTTTACTTTGAAGATACATTTTTCATTTAGTTTCTATACATTTTAGTTTCAGTTTTGGTCATTTTATTTCTAGGTAAGAAGGCTGAAAGGTGTTTAAGCGTTTTTATATGTCTAATCTCCAGAGGATCATACATTAATATACAGTGCACATTATATACTAAGATTCTCAAAATGGGAAAAACATTCCAGGTATTGTTATGGGTCTGTAAAGATAAATCATTACTTAGTGTTAATCATGGAAACAACGTTTGTGATGTTTGTTTTTATTTCAGCTAGTTTCAGAAGAACTTTTTGTTTAGTTGTCTTGTTTCTGTATCTTCATTTCAGTTTACAAAAATATTGTCTTATTATAGTTTCAGTTAACGATAAGTGGAGGGTAGGAAGCATGCTTCAGAAAGGTCAGTCATATCCAGCGCTCCAGAAGGCAGACGAAACACCGATTCCACGGGGACGGTTTACCTGATGAGTTCACAGAGCTAAGTGCACCCTAGCCAGAGTCAATGAGGTGAAATGAATCCAAAATATAAACAAATTAACCCCATTCACAGATCCTATATAAAACCAGATGCAGACCACCACCGGAGTGCGTGTCGCGGAACGGTCCATCCACAGAGGGATGCAAGCACAACTTTTGTATTAGAAATACCAGAACAATCACACCTTTGACAGAAAGGTAACCCCCAAAAAGGATTCAAAGTGGTGGAGTCCCTCAGCTAGCAGAGCCCCTGTCGGAAGGAGACCCCCGCCACTCACCCTTAATGTGGTCACCGTGGAGGGGTCCCTGTAGCGCCCGTCATCCTCCTTCAGGTTGTAGCCCTCTGGCCTCTTGTCACGTTCACTGATCTTCCACAGCTTGATGGTCTTATCTGCAGACCAGGTACAGGGTCAAAAAACTACACTGGTGGAGGTGGGTCCTCCCTGCCAGTCCTCTGCAACCTGTGTTACCTTTTAACAGGAAATGAGCTCATAAAATTAAAGGGAAGTTATGGGGGTGGACACAGACAAGCCACCGGTCTCACTTCCTCTACTCTAACCCTTCAGCCAACAAAAAACCCCGCCAGTGTCTGAGCATTTTCTTTTTGATGCATCACACCAAAAAAGTGTTATTCTATTATCAGACAAGAGAGGGAAATGAAAAGTGGGGCCGGCACCGACCGTTTGTGGACAGCAAGAAGTGGGCGGCGTTCTTCTGAGGAAGCCAACGGATCTTGTTGATCTTCTCCTCGATCTCCAGGCTCTTCAGATAGTCAAACTCGGGCTCGTGACTCTGAAAGGTGCTGTAGACATTGTACTCGCCCCGCGACTGAGGCTGGCTCTTGTTCTGGGAAGAATTAGAGGGGCTAACGTTAGCCAAAACATCGCAGAAATGTTTTGCACGGTGAAACCCCCCCCCCCCCCCCCCCCCCCCCCCACCACCACCTCACACGCCGCTCACCTCCAGCTCCTGCTGAAAGATGACGACCCTGCCGCCCTTGTCCCCTGTGGCGAGAAGCTCCCCGGAGTGGTTGAACTCCACCGTGGAGATGATGTCAGCTGAGGCACAAGGGAGCACACATGTGACAAGGTTAGGCACAGGAATAGCCCCGCCCCGCCCCCGCCCCCCTGGTGACAGAACTCGAATCGAAGCAGGGTTCTCCATAGACTGTTCGATCCGCTGCAGCACAGAGCGTGCGAGCCCTAGGCGAGCGCTGCATGTCGAACCAACAGAAGCTGTGAGATTCTCCTTTGCCTCCGTAATAATTACACATAAATATATAGCTCCTCCTCCATGATGAATTAAAATAAAATAAAACAACACAAAAATGGCTTCCACTACTCTCATTCATCACCCAGAGCCATTTGTACATTTTACATAAATCTCCACATTACAATGCAAGAACGTTCTGGACCTTTAAATTTACATTGCTCCATTTTGTTCCAGTAGATCTGCTGACAATTAAAATGCTATACATTTACACATAATGTACTTTACCTAAACGCTATTCCATTGCATAATCTACACGAACGCAAGAATTAGTGTTACAAAAAAAAATACTGGGATTTAAAAGTGAGGCAGAGAGGGTGTTTTAATTAGGATGAGTCTGGGGTTAATTTCGGGGCCAAACCGGCAGCCTGATGCGGCGCCGACTGCGGTCTCTGTTGGACACTTATCAGGACGGCCAGCTGTCCAATGGGAAGCTGCTACGCCTCCCACAATTTGTACAGCAGGCTTCCACAACAGGCTTCAATCCCAGTAGATATTTCAAGGAAGCTAAATATAGACATAATCCTCCTATAACCGACAGGTGGTCCCAGCTCAAAAGACACCAGAAAAATTAATGAGTTAATAGCATTAAAACGCCAAAGGTTTTTATTGGTACAGAGGATGAACAGCAGCTCAGTGGCTAGCAGGATGGCCTCACACCTTCCAGGGTTTTGGGTTAGAAGGTTTTAAAAAATGCCACCCTTAGCTCTTTGTGGGTGGAGATTGGATGCTAGCATTGGGTTTGCTGCAGGTACCCAGAGTTAATCCCCTATGGTTATGTGAATCAGTGTATCCATATTGTTCAGTGTGTGCCTTTGTCTCCTGAATTAAACAGGTATCCTATCTAGTGCTCCATGCTTCCTGGGAAAGACTGTAGGCTCATCATGGCCCCACATTGCACTGCATTAGCAGTTATGGAAGACGGACAGGTGAACGGGATATCGGGGCGAGAGTCATCCCAGTGAACATGTTTAAGGAAAAACTATATTACAAGTAAAACTGACCGGCGGCAAGGGAGTGAGGGCTCCCAGTGAGAGCATGACGCAGGGAGGGACTCACCTTCAGCCACATCGTCGTCAATGGCCCCCTTCACCTGCGACAGACACCACTGCACGTCGCCGGTCCCACCACTGGCCCCTGAAAGCAGAGAGAGATCAGCTGCATGGCAGACTCCGCCCCTGCCCCACACACCACCCACCACTGCAAATTACACCGGAAAAAAAAACAGGCATAGCCCTATCCACTGCATCGGCTATTCAGACAAATAATCCTAACACAAGACTACTAAATCCAGTAAACGGTCCACAATAGAGAAAGGGCCATGTATCTAGTTTCAACATGGATTTACTGTGCATTCATTGGAACATGACGTTCGACCCAACCACCCCACCACCAGCTGGTGAAGCAGAGAGCCTGATGAAGCACCTGCCTCTTCAGAAGGCAGAAGGAGCTCTCAGTGGGCAACCAAGAAACTTACCAAACCTGAACCACTGCAGGGAAAATATCTACATATATAACGGTGTCTCATGCAAGACAGAGGAGGGCACAGATACAAAAGGTACTGACATTCAGACAGGCCACCATCTGCATTAAACTGCCAATGTCAGGTCAATGTCTAAGGCTAACATGGGCGACAACAGGTGCTCAAGCTGCCGGGACAGGATGGATCTCAGTCTACATCCTGCATATTCAATACGCCGTCCCCAGTTGACAGTTTTGGGCAATCACAAACGCGTTTCACTGTAACAAATCAACAAAGGTTTGCTAATCCATTTTTTCATGATGCTGATGAACGATAGAAGACAAGTTATTTCATGTTTCAAACATTGTTGCACAATTCTGCAAGGATCATAGACATGCCCACACCCAGCTGTCCTTCCATAAATTCTCCCCAATTGCTCAATGAAAGACTGCTTAAGAAGAAAAACAAACCAGCTGAAACTTTCCCCGTGACCTGTTGGAAGTGAATAATGCTGGGTCACAGATTACGCATAAACAACGCGTCTCCAGAGACAGCAGGGAATCGCTTATGTAATGATCTGAAATCAATATCCACTCTCCCAAAACTTCTCAGAAGCTCATAAAACAGAACTGGGATTTTTGAACCAAGAGATATAACTGTAATTTACGATGGGTTTCCAAACGATATTCATCCAGTGGTTTATCGTGCATATATTGATATCCTATTATTTGGATTAAACTGGGGTTTGTTATGATAGTAGTTAATAAGTTTGATGTGGATAAGATGGTCACAGATTCAAATCCTAAGTTAGGGCTTGGTCAGGGTTCATCCCCTTTTGACATCAGGTATGCAAATCAATTCAGTCTCAACCACTTGCTAGGCAAACTAATGTAATTATATGCCAGTTATAGGCGTGAACTTTAGTTTCCACTAATTTTACTGCACTGAGGAGTGAAAAGACAAGGCTACCTGACGACAGGGGGGGCTTCATAAATGACAAATGACAGATGACAGACGCACCAGGTGGGATTATGAGCCTCTCATTAAACCATTTCAGGTCCTTTCGCAATGCGTGTTGTAGAGGGAATCTGACAGTGAACAAACGCGATCTTAAAGTCTCCCTCCTACACGACCCCGTTACCTAAACGATACCCGCATCGATTAAGGGACAGCCCTCGGAAAGGGACCGGGGCGCCGATCGCCTAACGCCACGGCACAAAACCGACGGACACCATGCATCAAGCGAACAGGACCGCTGCCATGTGGCCTGCGATGGGAAATAAGGGCGGTTGCAGACGCGGTGCGGCGTATGACCTTACGGGATCCGTCCAGCATCTGCACCGGTGGGAGCACCCCGCCTAAAACACACCCGGAGAAGGGAGGGGGGCTGCATTGCAATCCAGCCACCAAAAGGTCGCCATACAAGCAGCGATCACAAGAAACAAAATAAAATACGAGAATAATGCGAAAACTAAACATACAGGGAGGAAGTTTTAGGCGATTAATGCAGACTGCTAACACCGTGGGCACCACGAGCACAGGCAGGCGCCCATGATCCGACACACGCATGTGGAAAAATCACTTAAGACCAGTTAGTTATCCAACTATACCATTAATGCGACTGGTCGTCTAGAGAAATACAAGTAAACTAGCTGGCATCATTTAGCATTGGGTAGTAATGCATTCCCCTGCGATTTCGCCTGAACGCAACGTGGGGGGGGACCGCTGGGAAGTGAATACCTGAAAGGAATGAAAGGCGAGCTAACCACGGCCATACTCTTCATATATCTGAACCCAAATCCGATCTTTTTTTAAAGAAAAACGGGTAGTTGCGCCAGAATCGGTACGCCAGCCTGGATTCGCCCTTTACATTTTGTTGCGGTTACCTGCCATGGTGAGAGAGTGAATCTCTACCGCGGGCCCAAGTCTTGCAAATTTTGCCGGGCTTGGGCGTGTGCAACGGGAATTTCGCAGAGGATGGATGAAGATCGCGAAAACAAAACAAAAAAAAGAATTAAAATCTACGGGTCAGGTTTATTTCCCTGCCACTTCGTCTCCCGGTCTTCAGCTTAGCCAAGCCTGCACTATCTATCATTCACACTCCCTATTTTCCAGTCATCTACTCCTCTCTCTCACCTTCCAATTTCAAAATGGCGCAACCTCCTCCCGTGCTGACGTCACGAGACCGACCGAAAACCGCGGGGAGGCGGAGGGAAGCGCATGTTAGCAGAGCACGCTCGCGCCACATAGTGGGCGCTCAGCGCGGTGGCTTTTTATTGGCTTTCACCAGCAACCAGGTAGGCAGCGCCAATCATAGCTAAGTGCGACTAGGTCGAATACCGCTCCCACGCTCCACATCCGACATCGACGCATTTTAAAGACGTACCGATTCAATGGTATATTATAGAGTCGCAGAATATTATCATCATCGCCGTGTAGTATTACGCGGTACGTTTCTGAATGCAATAGTTGTATTTTGATATGTATTTGTGAATCTCAGTATTGTTTTCATATAGCAAGTGACTGCGGTACGTCGATGTCTCTCACAGACGATGTTTGGGAAAAAAAAACTTTCGTCTGCACTTTGTGAATAATGTGTGCTAAATATACAGAAACAGACGGAAACATCATAGCTACTTGCACTTGATTTTAACCTACCGATTAGTTGGGGGGGAAAGCAGCAGAGCGTTGCTGTTATTGTTCTGATACGGTCAAGACATCTTTAGACAACCGTAATGTTACGATAGTATTACGTATTATGAACAATCCGAGGACAAGGTTTCAGAGATAGGTGTGGTACACGACAGAGACTGCATGACAAACCCGGATATTTGATTATGGCTGTCTTCTTTGATATTGTGTAAATTCCAGTAGAACTGACTGGTTTCCCGTGGTTTAGGTGTGACTCTGCTTGGTCTGGGTTTATTAGTTGTAACGGAAAATTAGCCGAACTAGTAGTCCTATCAATATAATTTAATGTATTTCAGCAACTCAGATGGGCTGAAATTTTGTCCACATAAAATCGTAATGGACTGGTCCTACAAGTAAACACCACCAAAATGTCACTGCAGTTTCATGTGTATAGGCCCCTACATTACATGGCTTTATATGAATAAGTTCCAATGTATTCAAATAATTTCCGTTTCCCTTAATTTGATTTCAAATCAGAATGCCATTATTGTCTCACATGAAAGGCCAAACCAGTACAATAGTAAAACAAATATGTCAGTGATAAATTTGAAAGTAGTTCAAACCAGCATAAAATACACGTGTTAAAAATCATGGGAAACTACAATTCATGCCACTAATAAAACATAAATGCTTTGCAGGCAATTAGCAGATCACTCTGAAATGCACAAATATTCAACTTTGTAGACAATTGAGTGCATCAATGAAAACATAAGTGAAATGTGTAAGATATAAGATAAAACATGAAAAAGGGCTGGTTTTGTTATTTAAAACTAAGAAACACCTTCCAATTAACTAGGAAAGGTAGTATTTTGTTACAAAGCTCCTTTAAAAATCCCAAAACTAACAGATATTCTGAAGCTGTTGTGGGGCTGTCTTGCTTTCTCTGTGTCTCTACACAGCCATATCTGACTATCTGTCTTTATTGTCCCTCATGGGGAAATTCTTTTTATGCCTCCATCAACTAGCTCTTTGTAGCCACCTGTTGGGGCACCCAGGGAGCTGGGGGTTAAGGGCCTTACTCAAGGACCTGCAGATAAGCTGAGGCTGGTTTTGAACCAGCAACCTTGTGATTACAAGCACACAGGCTTAGCCCACTGAGCCACACGCTGCCCCCAACAGTAGAAGAACAAGGTGTTTACACAGCATGAGTAATTCAAACATTTGATAGAAGGAATGATAGCACATGTAAATCAAACAACAGATTTGCAATTCAACTCACTTAACAAACAATTGAATTATACTTAAAGCTTATTTATTACAAGAGGTTAAATGATATACTTCAGTTTCTCATAATATGCTGTCATATTCCCCTTAATCACATTCCCTTGTCTTAACGATATGAAGGTGGAACAGAAATGCTGCCGCACTTTGAAGATTTTATGAGTAAGCAATTATTGAAAATGGATGATGTACATGGATGGCCTCTAGTGGTAAATACGTGCAATAACAGCTTTCAATTTCTACGGCAGAACATTATATTTTCTTTTTCGTTTTCTTTCTTTATTTCTTTCTTTCTTTCTTTCATAGGTGTCTTTTTAGCAACTAAAATAATTATTATTCACATGCTCATAACTGTATTCAAAATCGTATGCAAAGTATACAGGTACTCAGAACATTTCCTTGATGTTAACTGAGTATGAATTGAATACCTTCATCGCTGTACAGCGCACAACAAAATTTGGTATGTCACTCCAAGTGACAATTTACAAGAAAAAAAAGAAAATATACAAATATGTATGTAATGCATAAGTGCTGTGTATGCATTAATAAATTTACAACAAGGAGAAAAAAAAACTAGATGAGAAGTAAATTGTAAGGAAGCATGGCCACGGGGTAATATTACAACAAGCTGGCTGTAAAAACAGGTGAGAGAACAGTGACACAAACCAACATGACTGTATTATATGGACATTACTGCAAGCAGGACTGATTACTGCTGGTTCAGCAGGGTAACAGCTCATGACATGTGGATCTGGATACTTCTGTACCGTCTGCCTGATGGTAAGAGGGTAAACAGATGGTTGTAAGAGTGTGTATGGTCTCTGACGACACTGAGAAACACTTTTTGTCAATGCAAAGGGCAGCTGGGTTCAATCTGACAACAAAAACATTTATTGAGAGAGTAATTCATTATAAAATTATAGATAGATAACTTCAAATGTCTCAAAAAAAAGATTTCAAAGTGGTTAAAATTTCTCTATGTTAATAATCTATTTCAATAATTTGGTTTCTTTACTGCATGTTTTTACTTAGTGTTATAAGACTGATGGTTGACACCGAATTTTACCCTTTCTTTTCATGTAATTAGTTGTCTTGCTCATGGTGGTGCAGTAGTTAACCCTTGTGCCTCACACCTCTGGCGCTCGGGTTTGAGTCTCTACCTTGGCTCTCTGTATGGAGTTTGCATGTTCTCCCTGTGTTATTTTTGGGTTTCCTTGGGTACTCTAGCCACCCCCCACACACAGTCCAAAAACATGCTGAGGTTAATTGTAGTTACCACATTGCCCAGAGGTGTGCCTGTGTGAGTGGATGCTGTGTGAATGTGCCCTGTGATGGGTTGGCACCCCATCCTAGGTTGTTCCCTGCCTTGCGCCTGTGTGCCCTGTGACCCAGAATAGGAGGAGTGGCTACAGAAAATGAATGGCTGTCTGCTGCAGAGACATCCTGAAAGGAGAGGAGATGCGCTCCATCACATCTAGCATAAACTTTCAGTGTGGAATGCCTAGTCCCAATCTACAGTAGATGAGATCCTGATTAAAATGGCAGATTCCCTTCCGCTTCTCCTGTACTTAGGAGTTTTCCCAAGAAGAAGGTGGAGAGGGAGGTCTGGCCATCTGGCATTTTCTCGGTGGTCTGATGACTCAGCAAAAGTCGAGTGCCGATTCTTAATCCCTGCTCAGCCTTTGGAATGTAGCGTGTCTTAACCGATTCAGGAATCCATACTTATGGATAAGGACAAAGGGGGACAGGAGGTGTCTGATGTACCATCTAAAATTCTGGTTCACTCCCACGCAGCAGATTATATTTGGGACCCTCGAGCAGTCTGTAAGATTTTTAAAATACTTTGGGTGAGGATTGATGGGCACATTGCTAGGTGTTTGTGGCCGACTGGCTTCATCTCAGCACCACCTACATAGACATGGAGCCTCAGGTAAAGTAGCCAATCTGTTCTAGGACTGAATCTGACCAATAGGGTCTTAGGTCTTATTCTTACATGTGGATCTTGAAACAGGTTCCTGCCAAGTATTTCATTTAATGCCGGGGGGTGTCATATATGCTGCCCCCACCTATGTTATATCATCAGCGGCATCAGCCAGTGTGTGTGATGATGAGAAGCATCAAGGTCACCCAGAGGAATCCACCAGTGCTGGTCCATCCTGTGAGAATCCAGGCCATACTGCTGTTGGGGGGGGGTGCTTTATCTAGCCTACTCTATATTCCCTGGCAGTGTGAGCCAGTCTCTGGGGCTGAGGAGTTTCCCTAACCCAGAAGAGCTAAGAATGAACTGCCTGAGAATGGTGTGGAAGATGGTGTGGAAGATGGTGCAGGCAGGTGAAACTAGCAGAGTAACCTAAGGTCCAGGGCACGCCCCATAACTTTGAAGATATGCCTGAATCAGAAGAGTTTTTCTTTGACTTGGATTTTTGGATGTTCAACATCATTATACAGCACGCCATTTTAATTTTGAAATTTCAATACAGGAGTAGGATTGCTTGTGTTGCTTCTTTGAAAGGATTTACTAAAATCATTGGATTTAATGCAATTAAAAATGTCATTTCACACTTGATTTTACGTTTCACAATTACAGGTTTTCATTAGTTGCTGTTTTGAATTTCTTGTTGTAAAGTCTATTTTATTGACTTTGTAAAAATCAATAATTCTTTATTTATCCTGTCTATTTCCCTTTGTTTCATCCAGTTAACATTCTTTTACGAAAACACTCGATCATTAAAAACTTACTAAAACAGGGGAAGTGAAAGAAAAAAAAATGAACCAGACACGCAGTCGTGTTCAAAGATTCTAAACGCAAACAGAAGCCCCAAGCAAACCTGCGAGCTCTTGGACCATCGATGTGCTTCTGTCAGCGCAGTAACATATAACCATCTTCAGGAGGGCAGAGCGTTAGCCCGCCGTTTGCCACCCCGGTGCGCACGCTGCTTTCGCGGGCATGTCGGTCACTGTGCAGCAAGCTGCTGTTGTTGCCTCCGGAGCCTGGCTCTTATTTAGCCAGGATGCTAAGGTGTGACATGGAGCAGCCAGCAGTTAGAAACGCAGTTGCTATGGTAGCACTGAATGTTTTACATATACATATATTTCCAAATTACCATATTTAGCAGGTGGAAAAGCATTTCACTAGACAGTAGTACCATGTATTGTGCATGTCACAAATAGAACTTTAAACTTGAAACTGCATAGATATAAATTTTTATAAATGTATTTATCACGGATGAATATATTGTACATGTTTCTAATTCAGCATTCTCTGATTAGATGCCAAACCATACTGTGACACCTAAATA